AGTCTACACTTTAGAACGGCGTTATTGCGGACAACAATTTTTCAAAAGTAATTCCTGTTCCAATATCCAAGAAGTTTGTCTCTTTAAATTTTTATGGTTAATTTATCTTCGAATTATTAACCACAATTAAAAGGTCGTTTAATCCGCCGAGCGACTGGAAATCGTTTAATAAACGAGCCTTAAAACGAATCTCAAATTAAAATCACGACCTTCCATCAGGCCGGTCGCATTAATACTCCAATCAAGTTTGCCCCCTGGGGTAGTCGGGGTAGCTGTGTGTTAACGACTAATTACATTTATAACTTTGGGACGCGCTCGAACTTGAATCAAGTATTTATATTGAGTACAGGCGTATACTCCACTAACTCCTCCATATAAGGTACACCTTTGTTCGGAGCAGATCGACTTTGTCATTCTTACGAGTTTTCTCTTTAAAATTCAGTTCGGTGTCGGAAAATGTTTTCCACTTAGATTCCTTTAATAATTCATAGAGTCAAGTATATATTCTGTGCTGCTAATTTTTTAGATAAAACACTTCTAACGGTTTAAAATGCGAAATATGTTGGACTTGTTTACAAATTATTTTAACTACGGCTTTGCGGCAGCCGTGTGGGGAGACTGAAGATGGATGGTGACCCTAATGTCAAAGTAGAAACTGCTACGCTAGCGCCACCTGTTTTGTCGTATTTGATACTAGGCGCATCTAGCTGGGTCCTCGTAGAACTAACGGTGTCCTCGCGTTTGCGTGACATCGGTATCGTGCTGTTTTTGGTATCTAGTTATTTATTTATTCAAGATACGTCAATAGATCAGAACATACATCACTATTAATATATATTATTTTGCACAAGTGTTCTTATGTTTCATCTAATAAAATCTATCAATTTTTCCCCTAATGCCTTCCTCCCTAATGAAATTTAGCTATCTTTTGCTTGTTATCATTATTATTTGTTCCATAAACATCTTAGCATAACGTGGGTTGGTGTCGTGATTAATCTTCGCCTTACACTTGCCTTAAGACTTCGCGTTAATACAGCAATTAACTCTGTCCTGTATGGGTGTGTTGTCGGGTGAAGTAGCCGCCGCGCCGACCGGCGTATAATCGTAGCATATAGTATGATTAGTACGGGGGCGAACAGTTAATGCAATCACACCCCGCTTATACCGTGACTCCCCGGCCATAGAGTTTTGAACTCGTAGACTGCACTGCATATTTTATTTGATTCTAGTTTTCGCCATTTACACCCATTTTATTTTGAGAGTAATATATGTATGAAAACCTTAACATTTTTCACACGTTATGCATATATCAATGGATTAAAAAATTTTGATGATGACGTGGAGGTAACTGTAGCTCAATTGGTTAAAGCCACGGAACGGAACCACGGAACTTTTTGGCTGCCGTATTATCTATTTAATTATATTTTTAATCTGAATAGATTTTTAATTTAAATAACATATGTAATAAAATTATTAATATTAAAAACGCACAACTCAATATGAATAGAATTTGATGTATTATCTAACGTAAAAATCGTTTTATTGTTGGACCACAGAATGAATTTGTTTTTGAACAACACTTGTAAATGCGTTGGTTAGATCGCAACTTTTTGTTATTTTATGTACCAAGAAACTTATGTATAAGAGATTCTTATCATTGTTAACTCTATGGTAATACGAGAGCGCGTGCGCTGAACGAAGTGGTTAGTGGGGATCTGTAGCTTACGTAGCTCAAGTACTTGTGTTTGTCTACACTGTAGGGATGTCGTGATAGGGTTGCCTCTTATGTCTCGATTCGTTTTTGTAAGGATAATAAATATATTAAGGAGACACTAAACTCTAAAAAACATATAGTTATCTTAGTTGCTTTAATAAACTAAGTATTGTAATTTAAAATTGTTCAGCAGCAAGTGTTTCAGTTAAATTATAATGCTTATTGTTTTAAAAATCTAAAATACATTAAAAAAAATTTCTACTCGTGCCAGGACTTGAACCGGCATCGTCGGCAGTGACTCGGTAGCTCAACTGGTCGAGCCGAATTTAAAAAAAAATCATTTTCTGTTTTCAAATTATATAGTGCCTTCATGTGCAATAACATGTGAAAAGTATTAAAGTTTTCAAATGTTTATTGATTTTAACAATTTGTAGCTGAAAGCAGCGGCATTAAACGCAGAATAGTATAAATAAATTGTGACTGTGATGCACGTTCGTGTTGACTGTCTCGCGTGGGGGAGTGAAAAGTTACTAGTGATGTGGCATATTATTCGATTACGTTAAACCTTTTTAACAAGGGTCAAACTGTATTAACTGTTGATAGGCAGATTTGTTTTAATATACATTTCTTAGACTATTGACTATCGAACTATAGCTCTATTTAATCAAAAACTATTATCTATTAACTGTTACAAGAAAGTACATTAACAAAACCGCACAAAATAAAAACTGCTTGATTGGTTAGTTAGTTAGTAGTACAATTTCCAAATCAACATATTTCATGAAAATAACTTCAAATATATTTCATATTTTTTTAAAGGGAATTTTTTTTATAGATATAATAAATGATATAAGCACATCACTAAAGCCATCCCTGCACCTAAGCAACAGCCGGTAGCGCCCGTGTAAATTGCCTTTTCTCGTCGTGGATATACCTAGCTAACTTATTTAACCTTGCATATTCACTATTCGATTGTCGTAGTTAGCTTTTCTTCACGTTTAAAAGAACTTTCCTCCTTTGTTTTCATTTGTAATTATTGATAATCGATAATTATTTTCATAATGGTGAACCGTATTAGTTTTATAATATTTTTTCGCATGTAACAATGATTATAAATTATTATTTAATAATTCAAATACCAACCCGATATATTGATACCTCCCTATTTATCTACCCCGCTTGTAATCATTTTGCCGGAGCGGAGCAAATCATATTTTTATTAGGGAAGCAATGTAGAGGAGTGGAAATGACACTGCACCGTGGACTTCCGACCCTGCACACTTGTACAGGTGGCTGCGGTCTATTACTAATGCATATTGACCTTAAACTTAGTCGTATTAAGGTTTAATATCGTGTAGAGATTGAGGAAACAGCCGCGCACGCGCGCTGAAATGGACGCGTTTACTTAGTTGTCAGTTGTATACGCCGCGTTGACGCGTATTGTCGTGTAGCGCGCGTTTCATTTGTTTTAGTGATGTGATCGAATTATCGATATCAAATTGGATGCGTAGATGATTTTCTGTGCCAAACTTAAAATACAATTTAGTGTATATCTACAGTTTTAAATAATAATCTGTCAATAATACATATTAAGGCAAGTAACTTAAGATATACGTAAAAGAATCTATCTTGTGGCTACTAATATCGGATAGTATATTTACTCAATATTGAATGTCACAAAGTTACGATTAATTAAATTATTAGTCTTACTTTTAAAACAATTATTTTCACATTTGTTCTTAAAAAAGGTGACATGCAAGTTATTTATATTTCAACGTCAAAACATTCTCACAAGACGCGCTCGAATTATCTGCCACGTTCAGTCGTAAACTAAATTTGTTCCTTTTACGATATTCGCGTTATTAGATGAGCGTCTCGTCGGATTTTACGACAGCCTAATTATAACATCCCGTATACGCTTCCATTAGCCCGTCTCATTCCACCTATCCCCGAGGATTTGTCACTTAACGCCGCTTAAAGCGTGCACAAATACACCACTACGGGGTATTCTTTCATTTTTCCATGTTTGAATTACCGCTGAAGCGCTTTAAGTGCCCAGTTAATCGCATTTGCAGATGCCTTCGCTTCTTTGCGTTCTTTTTTATATTCAAATGGCTTTCTTGTCATTCTCTCGTCATTTATTTCGGCAGCAATTAGTCTCTTATACGAGATGAATATGTAGGCTTACGTTCACCATTTGAAAACGGACTCTAAACGTTTAAACTGAGAAAGACCTCGCATTATATCCGAATTTCTAAGCGCTGCTGTTCTGTTCCGCCGTTTTAGGTTTTTTTGTTAATTTGCAAAGGCCTTTTTTCATGCACGACGCTGGCTCTCGCTATTCGCTTCCGAAAAATTGCTTCATTTTGTTCCTGCGCCGGCTTTTAGCGAAGATTTAGCGTTTTTAATTAACTTAAATCCCACAAAGCGGATACAAAACATTTTATGTCTTTTTATTCTGGAACTTTTAGAATAGACAGTGTAACGATATATATGAAACATTTAAGAGCATTAGAATATTAGGGTTTCATAAATTTAAATGTTTCTTTCTCAAAACACAGACGGTTGATGTAGATCATTATTTAACATTCAACAATTATGTATCCATTCATTTAATATTCCCGATGACAACTCAATGGAAAAATAAAGGCAACACGTTCGTTCTCATGGCGATTTCAAACCGCGTAATTATTTATAAGCTCTTTGTAACATAATACTGTCAGTGCAAACGACAAGTAGGAGCCGACAACAGAAGCGTATTAAATCAACGTTGACAGGACAAAGAACTGAGAACGCTGAAACGCTTTGCCTATCGATAACTGAGTAAATATTGTGCGTTACGTCACTTAGCGGCCCTATACAATTACAACACGAGTAAAAATTGCAAAGATTTCTAAAAGATTGGTAAAATATTTATTTTAAGTATGAAATGCCTCAACAACTTGCTGTCGCGTTACGGACGCCAGCCTGCAGATGCTAGCTTCAATATTAAAATAGTTCAACTTAGATTAGGGTTACCACTTCTATTGGAAGTCCTGTGACGGTTCTGTATACTTACTAACTAATCTTTCGTTAAAGCAGTCAAAAATATCTTAACTCGTTAGTTTGTTGTAGTTATTTACTAAGATTACAATCCACACCTGTCGCCATCTCTATAAAAAGTTTTGAGGTAGTGACAGTAGGCAAATGTGTTTACTAAATTGTTCTCATTCGCGCAGAGAAATGTGTGTTTTAAATCCATGAATAATAAAATAGACCGACAAGTGATGTGTTTGTGCTAAGTGCGATGGAGTACCGGGCGCCACACCCGTTGAGCGCCGGGGCGCCCTACTACCCCCATCCAGGTATGTTGGTGCAAAATTCTTGCGAAACTGCTTAATATTTTAGTAGTATTCAATTTAAATCAATTAGTTTAATAACCCTAACACAATATTTACATTTTACGAAATGTCTCTCAATCTTACCTAGATTAAAAGTTTTATTTATTGCTTTATTATTATAATTCTCTATCGGGGAAGGCCTGGTCATCAGTCCATATCTTGCTAACCATTTTCTCATAATTTACTATTTATTTTCTCTTTTTTTTTGTTTGTTACCGACAAAAACACGCTTTTCTCACATGTTTCTCACGTATCGTTAAATGAAGATAGTTTATATCGACAACTTTCAAAGGATTGCGAGTTTATTAGAACATTTACAAAAAGAGGTTTGAAAAAATTTCACAATTAAAATACTTAATGTTTAACTTTTGATTTGAAACAGTAAATTTTTCCTTAATCCTTTCCTACGGTTTACGTTGGTATTATATCGAAAAAAAGTATATATAAGAAAGGGCGTACTTCACCATGCACTTAATCCCTTATATGACAAGTTAATGGAGGGTTGACGTCAACCATCAGGTCGGCGTGTGACCTTATAAATGATCAGTAAGCCTGCTTTTCTTTATTGAGCCATTTGTTAGTAATAATATGTTGAGCTATAGTCGTTAATCTTAATATTGTTCTATTTGGCCATGTAAATAATTCTAAGAACCATAACAAAATATACACATGTTATATTTTTCGCTTTTTATATTATAAAACTCGCATGTAAGTATGTGAATGTGAATTCAAGCGACCATAAAAGTGTGTCGTACAATTTGTACAACGTGTCTAATATCTAATAAAGCTTTATTGTACAAAACTAAGTGCGTCCCCTTGGTTTACGGTGCTTAAATATCTAGAACGTCATACAATATCAGGTAATCTGTCTGCAAAGATTCCATCGAAATCCGCTCAGCCGTTTTATCTATAGTTGATCAAAGTTATTCGCGTGTTAACTGATATATCGTATCAAGCTAGCTGTTTTTTAAATTAAAGTTTTTATGTTCAACGGAAGCTTCACGACTATTTATAGAGTTCTGATTATTTTCGTCACTCCATATGCCTGTAACGGTAAAGCATCGCCCCCAAGTTACGGTTAGCTAAGTGCTCAATTAGGGTCTCAGAGATCCGACGACATCGAATGATGGATGACTGCGCCCCACACTACGCTCTAACCGAGCTAACCAAATACGCGTGTGACGACTTCTTAACTGCAAACATTCTGTTTCTAGTTGACGCGAGTAGTATACATTTAAATAAAACATTTTAACGGTTTAAAACGGGGAGTCTCCCCTTGACCTAGGTAGACATAACTGCGCGTTTCAAACATTCTTTTACTTTAATAAAAAATCACATTATATAACTCCTTGGTGAATTTAATAAAAAAGGTTTTTGAGATCGATAAATTAAAATCTGTAATATAGGTATTTTTTAAACAATCTTTTCGGTAACATTAAACAAGAAAATCGAAGTGTAATCTTACATTAATATTAAATATCTTAGAGAACGTAGGTTTTTTATTTTCCTCTTTGCGGCAAAACTCTACGTCACATCTCATACTCGTCTTCATGATGGATGTGCGACAAACACCCGATATCCATCACACGACGCAAATCTTTTGGCATTTTTTCCGACAGCCCAATTAAGACGCGTATGTTTTCTCTCTATGTATTTCCATGGATCAGGTAACGGAAAGAATGAATCATTTATCTACATCTGCCATTACTCATTAATGTTGAGTACAGCATGAATGAGTCTGATCTTGCGAAAAATAATAAAATATATAGCGCAGAAATGTAAATATTTCGGTGCGAAAGTAATATTTCGATAAGGCCTTTAAATAAGAAATGAATCCGCATGATCGTTCTAATCTCTCGGTCTCATTTAAATAAAAATCACGTTGTTACCCTCGCCCTGTCTGCGCGCGCACAGTCTGTCGTGAGGTAGTTTGGTCTAATTCATAAGATGTAGCGTTTTGGAATGTCTAAACAAAGTCTAACAAATTATGCAAAGTTCTTTTTTTTTGTTAAATCACACTAGCATGAGTATCACTTATTGGAGGTTGAAATTGTCCAAGCCATAGTACCTATAACATCTTTGGCTTTGGATATTCAATATTCGCATGTGTGTTTATGGTGGTTAATTGTTGTTACAATCTTTTTTCTATATCTTTTACGTATGGAGATTATTTGTTCTTATTTATCTACTTACTATACAAGTATATACTACATCCGTGCCCATTAAAAATATGAATATAACTATGTTAGAAACGTGAAGTTAAATCATACGCTTCTTTCTCCCAACTTCTATAATACTTGTACATGTCCTCGGATACTTGTAATAATTCGATCTCCATGTGACAGTCGGCTGAGCTTATAAAACATCCTTATTCCGCGGATCGTTTGAGGTGTTAAACCTCCCGTTCGTTTCCCCTATGTCTCCAGTAACCCACCCATTCACCCCCGCGCTGCTGATGCGAAGTGCGTTGAACCACTAAACGAACTCGCGCTAAATCCCTACGCTTTAAGTGGATCTTGTATTTTGTTTGAGTGCGTTATTGTGTGAAACCTTTTTTTTTTTCAATAGCCTAGTTTAAAGAGAGTTTAACTTTGTAGATTTTTAAAAGTACAATTTATTCTAATGTTATTAATGCTTGATTCAACCTCCTAATGTCTTAAACAAAACAACCATTAACTAATCAATAAAAACACGACGAAGCATTCCACTTTGTGCAAAATTATGAAAATTTCAATTAACGATGTCGCCGACGAATACAGTTGTCGCCTCCCAACTCGAACTCGGAAACTTCAATTAAAAGTTGACACTGGCTGCCGCGATAATGTACACAAATCCGGCTGAGCCGCTCAAATACTCCACAGACTCTAACCACCTACGAATAAGAGCTTTAATAAATAAATGGCGACTAAAATACTACGAAAGTAAAGCCGACGTTTCAAATCCCTTTTACCCTAACAAGTTGGGGTAATCTCGGCGAGGTCCAATCGAAATTGAATTGTATTGCCGAGCAATAAAGTTCAGCTGTACAAAGAGCGGTATAGAAATTGAATCGCCCGGAACGTAATAATATGCGATGCTGGCCAGATTTGATACAACTTCGGACGACTTAATCTTGATTAAGGATTTCTGTTCGTTCTTTTAGCTTTTCTTTTATCTCGTTTTCCAGTGAAAATAATAGGGCAACACTTCTATATGTATACCGGGTAGGGAGGCGTTTTAAATATAGAATGATGAACAAGACCGCTCTAACTTCTATCCTCTCGAGATATTGAGTTACACGTAGTTTCTACATAAAGGTTCAACGTTGTTTGACTTTCAAACGGGGTGTGCATGGTTTTCAGAGGGTAAGTGTTTACCCGAGCGTTCAAATCGATCTAAATAAGTAACGTTAAGGATCGTCCTATATTGTATTTATGTACTATCTTGTTTTATTGTCATTTATAATTTACAAATGGAAACGCATGAATTATTTTTTAAACTAAATGGAAATAGCATCCATTTAGTTTAGTTACGTAATTCCGATATGTGTATTAAAGGCCAATAAAACACAAAGTGTGACAAGAATCGGCACCCCGCGGTGGCTCTCGTGTTTGGCCTGGGATATTTTACGAGTAATAAATCGCGTAGGCAGCAAAGTGGCCCATTTGCGGTGTTAGTGTTTGTCGGCGAGAGGGTGGTAGGAGGTGCAGGGGTTGTAATGGAAATCCGCAGACGACGCCGCCAATGCGTGGTACAAGTGAAAAGCTTTAGCGATTTAATATTTTTTTTTTATAATGTTTGCCATCTGTGTTATATGAAGTAATGAAGTATCGTATAGGTATGCATCTAAAAAGTCCCTTTTGTGCTTTATGTGAATGTCCCGAATTTATACCTCAAAAGTGTCCTTCATAATAAAGGGTAAATTAAACATATAAAGTATATGTGCCGGCAATTTTGTTTACGAATCATCGCCTACTCTATCCTGTGTTTGTTTCATCTTTTGCCCCGCTACTTGCTCACACCCGATACTGTAAGAGTAACTGGCGATGTTGTGCGCAGACTCAACGCTCGACAGCGCAGTAAATATACAGCACACTTGTTGTACTTGTAGTGTATTGTGAGTGCCGATGCGAACTTACTCGCTCTGCACTCTACCCCAGGGGTGCCGCTCTTCAGCTCAAGTTTCCTCTTTGTACTTATGCTCTGTATTTGTACATTCTTCACGTAACGTGTGGGATAAGGACTCTCTTTCGTTACTTTCTATTTTATCGTTGATAAACTACGTTATTTACATGTTTCAAATAACGATGCACTTTGAGGAAACGTTTAAAGTTAAATCAAGACAAAATTTATGAAAGGTCAGCTTTGAGGTTATTTTCTGATCTCTGAAATTTGTTATAGAACCAAAACGTAGAGCTTTTAACAAACAAACTAAATCTACTTGACGTCCTTTATCTACTCATTATAAAAATACATCCATTTGTATGTATTCGTGTCTAAGTAAATTAAATTCCACTGATTTAAGAAGTACCTTTTATTTTACTTGAACTTTTGACAACCCTATAGTGACTGCGGTAGTTTGGGGTGAGAGGTTTCAGTACTACGCGGTGCCGTCCGGTCGCCGCTCTTCCTAGAGCTTAATTTGACTGCCGCTTCGTAGTGTTTTATCAATTGCGTCGTTGCCAACTTTATAACGTGGCATATAAAGATATTTTAATATATAAAATGGTATTTTATGTCTTGATAACAACAGTTAACTAGCATTGACATAATTCTTTCGGGTAACGCACAGCACAGGTTTAGACTTTACATTTAAGTCGATTACATACTTAGTCGTTTATTTTTCATGTATAATGCTTAGATTTGACGTTGTTACGGTACGATTCTTTTGATACATACCTATATTCTTTTAAGCCATACAGCTCTGTAATGTAATCTGCAATGTACTGACTGGTTGGCATTAAACCAATTTGAGATTTGACCAATATGTAATTATTATAATATATACTGTAAACCAGACTAATTAATGTAATGGAACCACTCCCCAATATAGCCGTAAACTAAACAAACCCGACCTCATGGTGTATTTATCAATAATGTCGATCGTTAAGCGGACCGGAATAGCTCCGAATGGGGGTAAGGGCCAAGCATTAAAACAGCGCTCATTATTTACTATACAATTATACTTACCGTGATATGTTGTGTATGTCCAGTCTCGTCTGTGCGTGTTTTATATTAGGTTTTGTATAGGTTATAAATAAAATTGAACCTATTTTATGATTTGATACTATTATGATGTTGTGCCATCATGAACGTTCTTTTGATACCAAACGCGGAAATTCAGTTCGCTATTTCGTTCTTATATTTTTTGGGGTTTAATTCTTTACATGTCTTTAAATATAGGCTTTTGCCACCTGCGCTATTATTACAAAGAAGTGAAATCCGGTTTCCCCCTTTGAGGCAAGGGCCGAACACATTTCTAGTTCCGTTTCACTGATCGGTTTCATTAACATGCAAGCAATTGTGAGACTGATGACAGCTTCTATTAACAATATTTTATTAAATTTGGCTTGTGCAAATGGTATTTTAAGCGACATCTAAGATACATTTATATAAACGTCCCTGTCCTTTTCTGTGGCATTGCCATCGCCGAATAAAAACATTTTATTGTTAACACTAGAACTTCCAGTCCATTTTACTGACTCAATTCATGATTACAAATAAATATTACGTATCTACGTGATACAGTAAAGCGTACCCAGTTAATTGATTCGTGCTTTTGCCAGCCATTCCGCAGCAAATTGATTTTATGCCACAGCTCGCCATTTCCCGTGATATCCCATAGATGACCGCTTGTATAGCTTATTTGGTTAATGCAAACATACTTCGCCAAGAAATATGGAATTGGAATGTTCTATAGTTATTGAAAAGAGGGATATTAGCTATCAGATAATGAAGTAGACAGCATTAGGTAATGGCAGGTAATGCCATTACCTAATGCTGTCTACTTATAACTACGTATAATATTTTTTATTATGTTAAGGTAGAAGAGGAGTGACCAGCAATGTGGTTCACAGAAGGTTAATAAATATGGATTTGAATATTCGTAAATCCATTGTTTGAAACTAAAACGCGATTAAACTACGGCCCTTTAATCTGTCTGTGGACGGTGGTTCGAGACCTGGACAGAATTTCGATATACCTACCACCCATTTGATATCCAAATTTCCAGACGAAGTTCAACATGTTTCAGAAAAATTGCACATTAATTAGAAATATGTTGGATTTTACGTCGGCCAAAAGCTACAAATACAAACTGAATAATATTTTATTAATGTTACGAATCAAATCAAACTAAATTTACTTCCAAGACATTATTTAGATTCAAGGAGTATACAATATGTGTAATCAAGCAGGTCGCCACGGCGGGTCGGTCAGGTCAGCACAATTGACTCGCTACATTGGCGTAGCTCGCTAATGTATTAGTCAACCGCTTCGCTGTCAATTGGTGCTGTTAGCCTGTACAATGCTTTGTGTTCCGTGTATTAACTATATTCAGTAAACCGTCAGCTAGAACATGCAAGATGTGTCAAACATTTACACATTACGTTTAAAAGTAACTAGACATTGTTTAAACATATTTACTTTTATTGTTGTCAGTTTCATATGACGATAAAAAAGTAACAAAACCCTCAACTCTGTAGCGGTTTGAGATACAACAGAGAGACTGCCTGTCTGTCTGTTGTGTCTCAAGTTTTCGAATAGGATTTTTTTATTATTCAGTAGTCTAACAGCTGGAAAGCTCAGTATAATGTACAAGCTGACCTGGCAAACGTTCTTTTGCCATATGAAGTATTTCGACCAATTTTGATTGCCATAAAAACGGTTCTTGAGAGTTTATCTTAAAAGACACACAAAAACTGCCGCGCTTACGTTACCCGTTTTATAGCCTAAAGCCGTTTCGCGATAAATATCCAAACAACACAAAAATAATTTTTCAAGTCGAACCAGTAGTTCTCGAGATTAGCACGATAAAACAAACAAACTCTTGCGTTTTACAATATTAGTATAGATTTCTATTATTCACCTAAACCAGGCAGCACATACAAGTATCAAGAGTCTTCGTCCATCATTTCCACCATCGTAACCCGACGACCCGGTTCGTTCCACAGCGAGATCACATGCTCCCACATTAGTACGGGGCACTTTAATACAAAGGGTCAATTAAATGGTTAGCCGACCGACCCTCTCATAGTCCCGACATTATTTATTTAACGTCACTTAGTCCGCGCTCTTTTGTACTTGTTTTCGTTCAATGTGTTGTTAAACACTGGCGTGATTAGTAGATAATTACTGTTCTAAATAACACGCTTTAATATAAGGGAAATTTACATTTAAATAACACATTCAACGGTTTCAAACGTGAAATGTTTTTAGTGTTCTTCGTGTTTTATTTAAATGTGTAATACTTACTCGTGTTAAATACAGACACTATTTGATATTGCACTTTACTAAATATGACGTATAAAAATTCGATGAAAAACAGAAATTTACTTCTAATTCACAATAATATATTTTAGAAATGGTACAGTCTTGGTTGGTTTATCAGTTTTTGGTTGGTTTATTGTAAAGGTTTACGCTTCCTAGCCTTTCTGGCCGTTACAGCTGATCAAAAATACAACTTGCTATTATTTTCACCCTCCGTTCCGCGAGAACTGTCATGGGTCGGTTGCAGTAATTTGTCAGTCAAAAACCTGCGTGACTCACCTCGCTTCAAATGACTTGTCATTACACATTATTAATAAATATTTAATTTAGACTTATACCGTATTTATCAAGTCTTGTTACTTGACAAATATTGATTTATTTTGTGTATTTTATTTCGATATCTTTTAGCCATAAAGAAATTGTTTTTCTGTGTTTGTGATACGTACCGATTTTGGTCGCGTTTTAGATCTTTTTATACCCTTAAATAAATAGCGTTTTAATTTATTTGTATAACAGTTATTTTAATTATGTTAAACTAAATATATACAAGTTTAGTATCTAATTCACTAATTCAACTTGTCTCCTTCTTTACAGGTGCTAGCGCAAGCAAAATTGCGAAGCGCAGTGATCTCGCAGCCAACAAGGGAGGCCCTTTTGCTGCAGCATTGCGTACACTGGCAAAAAACGCGGGACCCGATGCCAAGGATGGTGAGTCGCACGCGCTTTGCAATCCCCACCCATTCCTTACGAGCAATCGTGTTGTGAATTCGTATCATCAATTGTGACTGGAGACAACCCCCATAGTTATTATCAAAATCGACTTTGCTCGTGCTTATTTATTAAAACTAGAAATTTATATTACGCTCGAAAACACAAATAATACGAATTAATAATAAAAATGTTGTAATGTATCAGTAAAATAACGATTCGAAGTTTCGAATGTCAAAAATTTTAAGGATTATACACTAGCTGATATTTAGACGTCCTGTTACCGACGAAGTCATTCGTGTCCCATTAGCAATTTAATCTGATAATTAATACTGCCGTGGACTTTTATTTACATAATTTAGAGAAGAATCATTATATTAACTTTTATATAGAAAATCACGAAGATCAATAATTTTCCTCGTTTGTTCCACATTTCCCACTGTTTTTTCGCTGCTATTGATTGTAACGTTATATATTAGGCTTAATTTTTCAATTCGAACAAGTTCTTATTCCTGAGATTAGCGCGTACCAACAAACTCTTCAGCTTTATAATATTAGTATAGGTATTTTTCTTATGCTAAGCCGAAGTTGAAATTTCGTTAATAATCCCATCGAAATAAACGTATACTGCAAGGAAACACTGTTGGCCCTCAAGACTTTCCTCTTTATATTAATGCGTACCGCTTTGAATCAAGATGACACGTTGCAATTAAGCTCTAATTTTACCCTAATAAACTATTATGCGATCACGACCGCGTGGGGTCATGTCCCTAAAATATAACACAGACTACACAATTGCTCGTCATAGTTTTGTTTTGTTTTGGATTTCGATATATATAAGTATGATTATTTAACATTAAGGCGTACTATAGTAAGTTTAACGCGCATAAAAACCGTTTGTATTGAGCATTTTTCACCTAACCTCGTACCATACTTGCGATGAAATCTGCTCAATACAAAAGAGTGGGACCGAAATATGCGGCAAGTTCGTCTGACCGCGCGAGTGTACAGGAGCGGGCAGCGGTGCAGCTGGCGGCGAGCGAGACGTCGCTAAGGACAAGCCCCCGCCGGCGCCCACCAAGAGGGCTTCGCCTCATCACTTACCAGCTAGTGGATTCCAACCATATAGACCGGATGAGAGGTTAGTCTATTGCTTTACCGTCTATACCCGCGAGTTGATGATGATTTTGATAAAACAAAACATTTAGCATAAAATTTAACCTTTTATGAGGACCGGGAAAATGTTTGTGCCGTACCTATAAAGAAGATTATCATTTAACCATTTTATGGTAATTGCTTAACAATGAATGAAATAGGAATTATTTTATATAAATAATCGTGGAAAATAACACCATTGCAGACTATCCCACCCTGCAGCCGCTTCATTCCCGTTACTGGAACCGGCCGCTTATTCGCCTTACGCCCACCCGGGCCTCTACTCCAGTGCGGCACTGCAGTACAGGTAACACATTATCACTCGTATACAAATTTAAGATATCTTAAATGAGTTTATGTTATGATGGAGGTGTATAATTATTAACTTGTACTTCTCAGGCTAGCTGCTGAAGAGCAGATCTACCTCGAGCGTATGTTCCGTGGGGGCATGGGTGTCGGGTGGTTACCCCCCTATCCCGCTTACCCTCTCCTAGCTCCGCCCCTTTCGCTTGTCCACCCCGGGCATCCAGCGCACGCGCATCCCGCCCACCCTGCGCATGCGCACCCCCATCCGGCACACGCTCATCCGCACGCCCATGCGTTACACGAGGATAGAGAAAAAGAGATAGCGTTACAAAGAGAAAGGGAGAGAGAAAGAGAGAGGGAACGAGAACGAGAGAGGTGAGATATACATTTGTATACTTTGTGAATCTTTTATATAAATGAAAAGTATGTATCTAAGATTTAATGATTTTTTAGAGAGCGGGAACAACGCGAGAAGGAGCAACGGGAGCGGGAGCGTGAACGCGAGCGGGTAGCACGCGAAAAGGAGTCGCGTCGCGAGGCGTTGCATGCGCACCTGCCGGGTGCCTACGTGCCGCGCGCCCCTCCCCCGCTACTCTACAGGCCCTTCCGGCCCTACGAGCCAGACCCCGGTGAGCTCCCGCCTGACCCAGCACACCAGCCCGCCGCCCAGCCTCAGCCCGCGCCGCAGCCGAAGCAACAGTCCGCGCAACCCGCCTCGCAGCCAGCCGCCCTCTGACACCGCACGCACTGAAGACGCTGTTGTAAACACTAGCCGTTAGCCACGTTGCTACACCAGTTGCATGACGTGTTTTGGTGAAGTTTTAGTTTGGGAGTATCAATTCAAGGCATTAAAGAGATGGGGCCACCTGTGCGTGTCGCATGAAAGGTGGCCTCAGCGCTGTAAAGAAATCCCTTAAAAACTTCATCAAATCGTTATCACAGTTTGGCTTTACATTGATAAAGTCTAGGACATAGTTTTGACAGCCCTAGCTCTATTGCTGGTGTCTCTAAGAGTATTAGTCGACCAAGCCTTGACAGCCCTACTGTAACATGTGATAGGATATACCCAAATGGCCGGGTCGTGCATTGCAAGTAACGCGTAAGTTCGAGTGAGGGCCAAGAGCTGCATTTAAGTCGATAGACAACCAAATTGTATTCTATATCTGAAATGTGATGACCCTATATTGTAGGTAACATAATATAATACGAGTGATTCGACAACCCTACGAATTAAACCGTAGTTGGCAAAGGTCCGCTTTAAATTTTAACACTTAAATTTAGGTGATAACCATAATGGTACAAAATTTAGGTAGCGATTAAAAAAATCTCTTCTTTTTTTGTACATTACTAATTTTCAAATAAATTATTTAACCGACTGAAGGGGATACATTTATTTAAAACGCTTTTAAATGAAATAAAACCTTATTTCAACAGTAACACATTGTTTCGACAGCTAATATTATGTTTGCGAGAAAACTTTACAATGTTTTTTTTTATGTATTGATTCTATTACTAAAAAATGTTGTAAAAAGGAAACAAATTGTATTGCACTAGTTCCTAATGTGACATCCCTTTTTAAGACTGTTAAAATAAATAAAAAATATTAACTAAATTTAGAGCCTCTCCGTACATTTACAACTTCTCAACAAGAGAACATTTTTGTTATATATCAACTAACCCCTCTATTTCCTACGGGTTCTTCGACAGCCTTCCATTTTTTCTTTTATTTATCGTCTAGCGTTTTCTTTGTAGGGTCTTTCCGCACTTTCGTTAGATACCATTGTTACTAACAACTAAACTGTATACTGCCTAATAAGAAGAAAAATAATAAAAAAGCTTTTAGTTTCGAGTAAACTCAAATTACATTTACTGTCCGTACGACCTTATTGCTTAAGATGTAACTGCCTGGAGCAGCCTGTATTTAATTTAGCTCGTAAGTGTCGGATGTATTGCAACGAACCATAGCGTGTCTGCGGGCGACAGCAGTGTTGTACACAGGGTGTCCTCATTGTACCATATGTTTAAAAACCTATATCTTAATAAAAAGGCACGTTTATTTACCTAGTTGTACTTTTTTATATATCGGTCACGACACTGCTGTACCCAACACTACCAATGTATAAATAGTGTATTGATGATGAACAAAATATTATAATTTTGTAATTATATTGTACGAGTGATTATGACGTAAAAATGTACTTATTGTGAAATTTTGAAGTGATCTCTCACAGAAGTAGGCTTTGAATTAATTTTAACTGTATGGTTCGTTGGTTTTAAGGTGTCAAGATGGAAATCAACGAGTTTAGATGTTGTCTTGGCTGCGAACATTTTTGTACGGGAAAACGATTCCCTATATGTTTTTCTTGTTCTCTTATTTTTTAGTAAATCAACTTGATTATTCTCTACCAGATTTTGTTATTTCTGTCTTGACGCGTATTCAATGTTTAAAAGGCCTATTTCATTTTGTTTTAGACCTGCGTGGTGCTCAGTGGAATTTCTTACTTAATTCGACCGAAAATGCGGGGAGTTGTGATAATTACATTAACTTCAAGTCCCGTTTCCTTAAAACATTGTTGGTCTTACTTTAATAATACTAAATGTTATGGTTTAATACCTCCTGTCGAGAGCACGAAGAAAAATCTATATTTCTGAGTAAGAAATTACACAGACATAACTGCGTGTTGTCGTAGGTTTTACAGACTAAAACGCGAAACGACCACGACTAACAATTGATAAACAATCCTCTTTTTGTATAATTAGATAGTTATTATTAATTATAGCTTGTAATAGGTGTTCAATAATTTGTTTTCCTTTTGTAAGCGAAGCATTTATCCGTGTAAATATATAGTTAGATATGATATGGACAATACCTAACAAGTGAAAAATTATGATTTTATTGAAAAATACATTCAGTGAAATTGAAAAGTTGTTGCATGCTGGCCACGTGAGCGCCTCGGGCCTCCGGGACGCTCGCGGGTCGGACTTGTTTTTATTTTTTGTTTGTACCTCACCACCCCCTATCCTGCTAAGCTTCAGGTAGTACTAGTTGGCATTTATTGATGTGTGCTATAAATTGTGTTTAGATATTCTTACATCCTGTAAATGTAGATATTTCAGGTAAAACTATCATTTTTTCTTTTAAGATAATAAAATTTATTCCAATCGGTCTTTTGCTGCCGAACAGAGCAGTCGATGTCCTCGCCAATCTGATCAGGATGGCCCTTTTTAATCATCAACACGGAATTCAAAGAATGATTTAATAAAATCCGTGGTTTGCGAAACTAAAATGTCTTATGTCTAAAAGTTTAATATTTATAAATTCTTAATACCTAGCAACATCCCTCTAATACATGTTAAGGTGCAGTATGACTGATTAGGTACATTAATTGCAGTAATAATCTCATTATTATTTTTATAGATAACATACTTAAAGATATTAAGATTACACGCCATTATAAATCTGTATGACTTTGCAAATATGTTTAATTTGGGAGATAGGTCAAAAGTTGAACACAACGTGTCAGCAAAACATTTTTTATCAAAGTAAATTCGAATACAATTTTTATATTTTATTCCGAGTTGAATCGAATTGTCTTGAAATCAAAAGTTCGTCAAGTTTTCGTTAAAGATTAATAGTAATCTTTGTAGAGTTTTAAATCAAAAGAGTTAAAAAAAAAGAGTTATAAATTCTAAGTATTGTATTGTGAACAACTTAGCATATATAACATTAAATTTAACAACGAAAGTCAAAACAAAGGTTGACGAAACTTAAAACGATATAATATGTTATTCTCTATTCAGTGACACGACATCGACACTAGTGTTGTGGCTGCTTGGAAATAAATTATCTTTATCGGTTTCTACTAACGGACTATTGCGATTACAAAGCCCATGTTGTTGTTGGTTTGAATTGACTAAAAAACAAGCACAGAGTTCTTGCTAGTTAAAAAAACTTACCTATCTATCATCTGCCAATAACTGCCACAACAATACAGCACATAAAAATTGACACAACTAGCATACTTTACAGCGTAATAAAATCGAATATAAAAAAATGTATCCATATGGCCAAGCCCATACCAGCTGATTTTGACCTACGACATTTATCCAGAGAACTGAAATCAGAGGAGACATTTTTCGATGCAACTGTCAATAAGTTTGGCAAAGGTAATGGTAAGGATTTGGTGCTGGGAACTATTAGTGGATGGGTAGCAGGAGTGGGCGTTATTAAAATAGGTAAAACTACGGCGGTTGGTATCGGAGGGAGCATACTGTTGTTGCATTTTGCGACGGAACTAGGATATCTGTGTGTGAACTGGGACAAGGTGAGGGAAGGGATGGGCCGAAGCCAGGAGCTTATCGATATGGTTCTGAGGTTTGTAAGGAAAAACAGCTGTTTTTCTGTAGGCTTTGTCGGCGGGTTCTTCTTTGGTGTTGGCTCTACCTGACTTGACTTTTAATAAAGAATATTGTATCGAAAATGGCTTTTCTTTTTAACGCCTTATAAGGTCGAATAAATGTAATAATTACGTTCACTACGAAGGAATATGTCTCAAAAATGTTGAATCGATCTTTGCACTATTGTATTATTAATGTTGCCGTTTATTTAGGTATAAAGATATAGGAATTACGAATATAACAAATGGGTATATAAGTTAAAAATACTAATAACTGCTATAATATTTACTTACAAGTAATGAAGCAGTAAGAATAGGTACGTATTCATGCAGGGTTGAACCTACCATAAAAGACTGTACCTGAGGGTACTAACCTCATAACCTTCACCTAAACGTGAGATCGTATCTTAATTTACTAACTACTGCTAATCGACACATGATACTAGTTAGAAAAAGTGCTGTTATCTCATTTTTGATGAAAGTTTCCAAGACATGTTAGTAAGATAGATTCAAATTATGGCAAACCTAGTGGTTTAACTAGCGATTTATAAAACGGATTCTTGCACTATACCGATTCACATTTTTATATATTGTTATGACTTTAATAATCTAAAAGAGTCCATTATTTTCCGAGCGTTTAACTAAGCTTTAAATTTTCTATCGCAATATTAAAAGTCTAACTAGAATTGTTATATAAGACACTAAGTATTTAGGTTTAATATTATATATATATCGTCTCGTAATATTCGTCTACAAGATATAAGTTTAACTTAGATTAGAAGATTTTATTCACAAGTAAGTATTCATTGATTCACAAAGAAAAAATGATAGTTTTCATTATAAACAACTTATAATTAAAGTATTTGCATGACTCGCTTTTAGGCTGTAGAATATTTAATTTGCGATCCAGTTCCATTACTTACTGGTTTACATTCAATCTATATCATGAGGTATTGTTCATAGTCAATACTGTCAATAGCCTTAATCAATAAAAGATTGCGTTTCTTGATTTCACCTTATCGTATGTTAATTGTAATCGTTTCTATTTACAGCAAGAGCGTCGAAGCCAGTACAGCCAGTGATGCCGACAACCGAAGAGAGGTCACAGACAGCGACGACTGAAACAATCCCACCATTGGTATCGTCTACACCTGCTTTTACCCCACCGACGGCAATTATCCCACCATCAGCTGCAACTCTACAATCAACTCCATCTACAATCCCTATAGCTGCTATCCAACCGATGCCGAAGTCGTCGGAATCATTCAAGCCGTCAGAAGAAGCGAACACGCCGTCCTATCCCGAAAAACCAACTTTTGTTCAACCTAAAGCAGTTTCGCAATCGCCCAAAATATCACCCTCATCTATTCCAAACCCAAGCCCAAGTGTTACCACAACGAAGCCAGTTCAATTGGGTTATACTAATTATGGTTGTTACATGTACTCCGTTCCAGTATATTCCGCTTTTCAACCTGTCTCCTACCCAGCCATGGTACAGCCTAACCAAGCTTCAACAAAGAGTAATCAACCAAACTCTGCTGAAATCGTTTATCCCATTGTTCAAAGCAAAGATGGAACATCTATCACTAGTGATGGAGTAACCAACGAAAAGCCAATCCAACCACATCACGAAGAAGAAAAATCTCAAACTGATTTTGAAGAACAATTTATGCCAAAAGTTATACCCGCTGTTACTGAAACAAGTAACTCTGAAAGTCATGAAAATAGATTAGAAACTATAAACTCTCCTGCTCCTATTATAACAACAGCGTTAAATAAAGACGCTAACAAAAAAGTAACTCCTGAACGATATAGTTTAAAGACAAGCATACCGATTAGCAAGATAGACATGAAGTGTGTAAGTAGCCCCTCAGAAAGTTTACAATCTACCCTGCCGAAAAAAACAGCTTTCAATCCAGCTTTTCATGCACCAAAGCCGGATATGAAAATGGAAATCCAAAGCAATGTTTTGTTGAATGATAAAAATCTGGAACCTAGCGTTCCGGTATCTACAAATAGTATAGGTACTCTAATAACAGCTGCTGAAGTCATAAATCAAGCTGAGACTCAGTTTCGAAAGCCGGAATCAAAACAAGATTGCGCCGAGCAAAATAAGGATCAAAGCTGTATTCAATCTGTTAATAGTCTACCGCCACGAACGATATTCAATCCTATAAACTTAGAAGCTATGAAACCAAACTTCTCTCAACCGCAAGACAGGGCCCATAACGAAAAAAAGAATCAAATATTGTTAATTCAAAATAAAAATTCAACAAGTCAAAAAATGTTACTCGCAATACAGCAACAGAATCCACAAGCTTTGCATCAACGAACAAGTATCGAGCAAAAAAACTCGCAAGCTCCTTCACGACCATCGAGCCAGACAAAGAAATGTAAAGAAGAAGTCGTGAATGAAAATAGTACGTCATCAAAAGTCGTGTCTTTAAAAAGGATGCACCAAGAAGACTGCGATGAAAATGATTTTGAAAATCTCATTACAGAAAATCAAATATATGGCAATAAGATAGTCGTGAAGGAGAAGTCTCAAGGGACATTACAGGAGCAAGATATTAAAAATAAACAAAAAATTGAGAAATCTAGTCAACCACAAACTAATAACGTCGTATTCCAACCTAATATTGTATATCTAAGCAATGTTCAGTTTCCAGCAAATGTGATGATGATAAAAAATAATATTAAGATAAATAATGAATCTACTAAAAACAATACATCGCTTACTGATTCTAATCATACTGCAGAAACACCTGCCAACACTGATATTAAAGTAAAACATTCGGCTTCGAGAAATATACAGGACTCTAAGGAAATTCATGTTATGAAATCGATTAATAGTGTCGTTCAAAAATTAGGTACCAAAACCAGTAAAGCAGATTTGGTTTTTCAAACGCCTAATCCCAAAGTTATGATGAATCCTCAAATACTCTGCCAAGTCCCAATGATAATAGATCGAGATAAACTTAACCAACATGTGCTAAGCCACGATGGGACTAAATGTATAGACAGTCCCATTGACGATTCAAAGAAAACGGATACCTCTAAACCCAATGATAATGTATTTATAGCTTGCCAGGTAGATTCCAAATTACAACCAAAAATTTTAATAACGAACATAAGGTCAAAGTCGAAGGTTATCGAAGAAGTGAGTTCTCTTGATCTATACGAGAAAAGAAAGAGACTTCGTAGGCTTAAACACTTAACACATCGTGATGGTAAAGAATCTAAGAAGATGACCGGTCCGCCAGAAGATACTACGAACAATATTATAACTCCAGACAAAATTGTAGTAGAAATTTGTTATGAATTCATTGCACAGAAATCAGACAACGAAGAAATTGAAAGTGAAAGTGATTATGAGGATGATGATATATATTTTTACAGTAAAATTATGGAAGATTACGGGCATACCTCTGAAAGTCACCAGGAGAAAGAAAAGTTTTTAGCATGCTTACGTTTAGCCACGTTCAAAGATTACGAGGGTAAGTAATACTTCAATATTATAGATACAACATTGTATGTAATAATAAACGAAACAAGGTACATACGTGTTGATAATATAAAAAATACTAGGAAAGGATAAGCCACTCAGCTTATGTTGAAGCACATTTTAATGGAATTAAAAATCTATTATTTTTATTTTACATTTTGATTTACTGTGGCTTTCGTGGTTTAATAGTCTTTGGCATCAGCCAAAACTCGGTCAGTAGGCATACCATAAGATCGAGACATAGATTACTTTTTTAATTTTCAGAACGAGAAATGGATCGTAAAGAGAGAATACTACAAAAGGATGCTGTGGCCTCAGCATATATTACTGCCGGTCGATTGGACTGTCTTACACCAAATGATTCTTCGTTTTATAAAATTAACTCAAGTGAAAATGAGGACAATAATATTCCTAGGTTCTTAGAAGAAAACGGAGCCATACAGCAGCAAAAACAGGCATTTTTAGCTCGCCTTAGGCTAACGACGGTTTCGAAAAGGGATAGAGACGGTAAGAAATTTAGCAATACATATTTAAATTACTATATTACTTTTTCTATTTAACATAACAGTTATATTTTCAGGCTATGAAAAAATATGGAGAGAAATCATTAAAGAAAGAAGACGGCGCGAAAGACCACCAGAATCATTTCAGACAAAACAACGTAAACTTGAAATCGCTAATCTAAATCTAGATACCAGCGGCCAATTGAAGCTTCTAACGGAAATTAAAAATCAAGTAAACGAAAACAATAATTTGATAAAAAAGAAAATTGATTCATACACCAACGCAGGTGAAAGCATCAAAGTTTTAGCCGAAAAGAATTTTTCCGAATTAAACAGACTTTCAAAAATAGCAGACATAAGTGTTAAACACTATAGTGGGCAAGACGCAAGGAAACGAGATTTGAATCCAGGTTTCGACAGTGAAAACATTCAAGCTGCAAGACCAAAGCTTTACACGCATATAAACGTACCGAACATTTATAAAAACCGAATCTCAGATGTTGATGCATCTAAGGATGAATCGAAGTGCAATATAGAGGAATTTAAAGACGGTGAAAAATTTCGGGACGCAAGCTGTCAAGCTTCAACCTCACACTGGCTAGGGTTGGAATCCTTTATTAAAAGCTATAAGGAGTACGAAGCAGGTCGGTTAAATATGAAAAAAATATTATAATATGTTTATTACTCCCCACAGACTGAGGTACTTATTGCAGATCCACAAATTAATTTAAAAAAATAAGAAAATCTAATTTTGAAAAGCCACTTTTATATTTATTTATAAATTACAAAATAATTAAGACCAACATTTTCAAATGTTATACCTGTATTGATTGAAGTGAAGTGATTTAGGAGAACAGACAAGCATGTGGTTCGCTTGATGGTAGGTGACCCCAGCAATAAAACATCCAAAAAAGATACGCTGTTTATCTATTTTGGCATTAATTTATTTTTTAAATATCCGAAAATCCACAGACTGAAACCGAGAGACAATAAAACCTCAAGGTCTTTTTATGTGTGTGCGCGTCTTTCGATTTTCCTACCACTGCCACTAATCGGACCCTCGACCCGTTTATCATTAGCCATTTGTGGCTGTCATTTCACGAACGAGTCCGTCAAATATTTAGTATCTTAATTATTTTTAATAAATACCTAAAAAAGTAGTATCTAATTTCTTTTTTTTCAATTACAGATCGGAAAAAAAGAAATTTTTGACCTGAATCGACGTAACACGGCTCTAAGAGTGGAAAGCGCGTACGTAACACGGAACGCGACCCGTGATTCCGATAGAGCAAAGGCTTTGCTTGCTGAAAGAAAGAATCTGGCACAGGAAGAAACAGCAGTCAGGCAGTCTTTAAAAAAGCTGTATACAGCTCTCGAAGTTATAAGAAGTTGTAAAATTGATTGTTAGAGTCTTGTTTTTCTGCTTATTTTTATGAGAATCATGCATAAATTAACGCACCAATTTACTTTACTTTTACTTATTACCTATTGAATTTTGTTATCAGTTTTTTTTTATATTATTGGTTTCTTTTGTATATTCGTTAGATTTTATGTATTTCTCTATCTAGATTTAATTCCTAAGAGTCGTATTTTTACGTTTAACGTTAAGATACTGTAAGACATTAACTCATATGATATATATTAAATGTAGGTAACATTTAAATTGATTTAAAAATACTATTACAAGGACTGGTTTAATAGACTCCACTCGATATGTTTTCAACTCTTGTAAAATAAAATATATATCCTATTTACCAATTAGAGAAGTATTTTTGTAAGGTAGATTTGTGAAATTTTATCAATATCGGTAGAATTACTATAATTGTGCGTACTAACCAATATATATTATTTTGTTATTGTTTTGAATATTTATAAAAACATGTTGTCCTAACCATTCTCAAATTTATCAATTTTGATTGTAGATTTTACATTATTTAATATATTATCATCAAATTAAAATTTACAGCCAAAATTTGCAATTATTTTATTTCAGCGCCTACAAATGAAATGCTTTTTGTAAACAACTAGCAATACATAGGAGAATAAAGTAATTTCAATATAAACGGCTTTTAATAAATTACCAATCTTTATATAAAACTGTAATTAGTCTACGACATTAGCTATTTTAATACTGAATATTAAACGATGTCCATACAACAGAGGAATGTACCAGCGACTATTAATATTACACCCAAGACGGCAACTGCAAAAAGAAAAAGTTATTGTTACGATGTATTTGCCTTCTGTAAATTGACATCGTACGAGAAAATCTTAAATTTATGAAAATACATTGGTTACTTCTATTAAAATAAAATACTTTAACGATTTAAACGCGAAAAATTTGAATCTTAGTATACTCCCTTTGACCACAGCTGCTGCAAAGCATCTGAAACGACGGCCATAGGTAATATAAATAAGTTTTATTAATATATCTCATGTTTTAAACCGTTAAAGTGATTTATTCAAATGTGTACTACTCGCGTAAATTACTAACAGTATTTGGTTGTTTCTAATTGTATTAAGGGTTAAATGATGCAAACTTAATAGGTCTTCTAGTTTTCTGTTTATCATTTATATGTACGTCCTTTTTTTTAATTGCTTGGCACAAGTCTTCTCTTTTCTCTTACACCCAACATGACGCTTCAGAGCGGATTTAATAACTACTATATTTTTTAATATAACCAGAACTTCGAGCTTGTTAAAACTCCGTGCTAAAACTTACTCCGATATTTTCTTAAGTTAAGTTTTTAATAACGTATATAATTCTACGAACAGTATGTTAGTCATTTATCACATAGAAATAAAAAAAATATAACGCTAAGGTAACGCGTTATATATAATATTGTTATGTATGTGTCTGTTGTTGGGTCGCATTTAGTAGTCTCATTGCAATATTTAGTGATTATTATTATTTAAATGTCTGTAATTTATGCGAGTAGTACATATTAAAATACAACAGTTTAACGGTTTAAAACGCGATATATATTAGTTACATAGACTAATAAAAACTATTTTAATTACGGCCCCACACTTGAAACATGACCACGGCTGCTGCAAAGCATCCGAAAAGTTGGGCCGTAGTTAAAATAGATTTCAAATAAGTTTAACTAATATATATTGCGTTTCAATCCGTTAGTGTTTTATTTAAATATTATTATTTAATTAGAATTTAGTGGTACATAATTGACCATAGTTAAAAAGCAAATCTACTGTATTTATACCAATATCGAGGGGTTCTTCAGATCCTGTTACAGCTGCCGTTATGGCTGTGAAGGCAAATGCTAAACTATTCGCTGCTGGGACAGCTATAGATAGAGGCATTCGCTGAATCGTCATCAGATACACTAGGGACCCGGCTTGGTTTATGAGCCATGGTAATACGTACTGAAAAAGAATATGGAAGTTCAGTTATTTTGAAACATAGAGAACAAACAAGCATGGGGTACACTTAATGGGAGGTGAAATACCCCAGCTTTATAACATCTAAGCAAGATGCGTAGACGACCTATTTTGGCTTTGGATATTCGGAAATCCACAGAGTAAAACCAAAACGCGATTAAACTTCACGGCTTTTTCATCTGTGGACTGTGGCGCGTGACCCGGTCGGAATTTCGATAACCCTACACAATTATACCCATAATAAACAATATTTTCTTCCAAACAGTAATAATTTTAATTTTCGTCCACTGCCAGACATATTTTGGCCTCAGCTATTCGAAAATTCTTGTTTTAATGTAAAAATCAACGATTTGAAGTTCCTAGTAAACAGTAATTCAAAACAAAGCGCTTTTATACCACTTTGACTTTTAAAAATTAACTCTTATTGAAAAAGAAAAATCCTATAATTGTTTTTCAACGGCTTTTGGTAAATTAAACTTACTTTCCAATTACTAAGTAGGAAAACAATCTCCGCATATGCTTGACCAAATTTTGTTTTAGCTCGAACTGACCGAAGACCTTTTGTCCCTTGGCGGATGAATGGATTGGTGCAACCCCATAGCACTCCCGTGAGTAAGAGAAGACCTAAAAATGTTTATATGTATAGCCAATACCACATAGCAAACTTGGTATTAAAGCAAATACAGAAATAATTACAGTTCAAGAATCAATATTGTTTTTTGCTGTCATGCAGCCCAAAACTATTGTTTGTTTTTTTTAAGATTTTTGTTAAATCACCAATTTGTATAAATTATATTCATTTAATAAAGTCTATCAAGAAAAACATGAGGTGAATTTAGTTCAGTAATTAGTAGTCTTGTAATTGTTTTCCTTTAAATAAATTCACACATTAAGTAAATATGTTTATTAAAAATGTCTTGTACATTAAGATAATTATTGCACCAACTAAACATTTTAAAATATAGCTATGTAAGACTATTATGTGAAATTAAAATCAATTCATGCTGCCTATAACTATTTACATGTAAAGTCAAGCTAAATAATAATTGTAAAATCTGTAAAAGTATCAAAAATATAATTGTTACTAAAAATAACTTCAATATCTTTACATTCCCAATGGCACCCCTGGAGTCATTGGTTGTATATCCACAAATGGAATGCAATTTTCGTCAACCCATTTCACAAACTGTTTAGAAAGAACAACTGCACATTCCAATGCCATTACACTATCATTCTCAGCACGATGAGCTTCTGGTGCATTGCGATTTAATAGCCTTTCATATACATCTTTCAATTTATACTTTTCTTTTGGTTTGTTTCCTTTACTCCATGGAAATCTTCTACGTGCTTTACTCATTTTATTAAGAGCAGGTAAGTTTGATTTACGTGGTGTTACCTCATTTATAGATTTCATTGCAAGTGTATTTTCTACAAAGAGATTATGATCATAGGCTATTGCACATTCATTTTTAGAGTCAGATAATATAATATTATTCTTTTGTAAAACAGCTTCACAGGCTGACGATTTATTTCCAGAATTTTCTTCACTCACGTCTTGCAGAGACGGATCTTTAAAGGATAGTTTCAATTCTTCTAATATATCATAAAAACCATGATAACAGTCAGCGCATAAAACATCATCAGCAAACTTCTCTCCTAAACGTTCTATGTGGTTCTTTAAAATTGGAAAATCAAATCCAAGACCATTTTGTGCAATAAGACATACAGGTTTCGTTAATATATTAAGAAATGTGTTCAAAGTGTTGAAGACATCAATTTTGAAAGTTGGTTCAAATTCAAGCAGATCATTACACAAGCCCGTCACTTCTGTGACGCTCGGTTGAATTACTCTCATAGGATTGAGGCAAAGTGTAATTTTATGCTGCATTCGCGGGACTTTCCCCGGCGCAGTTTCCAGGACATGATCACGTTTTACAGCGACAAAACTAATTTCTGTAATTCTTGTTTTACCTATTTCTTCACTAGGCAGGCCTGTGGTCTCAAGATCCATAAACACGTAAGTTGCAACACGAAACATTATATTGATAAGTAGTTTGTAGGAATGTGGTATTATAGTTAAACATTTCAATATTACCTAAACTCTCCAGCATTGTAGTTTTATCGGAAAATGAGTCACGTATCACTGCAAAAAAATTGCAACATTTTATTATAGGTATACTGCTATAATTTTTCTACATATTAACTCTTAATAAAAAAAACGATAATTCCTTTGTCTACAGTACACGAAAACTAAAAAAGTGCCCAATAAAAACAATAACAATTCAGTCGCTCCTTCAAACACTTGACGCATTAGAAATGTTTAAGAGTATACATATTTTTATTAAATTTATTATATATTTTTTTATTTATATAATTCATAACTATATATTTCTTTAGCCACCTTTTTGTTTTAAAAATATTTATATTTACTTAATTAAAATTAAATGAATATGACAACATTGATTATACCAATTGCCTATGTTCCAGGTTAAGTAAAAAGAATTTGTTCATATTGTATCCCCTATCCAGTGATGTCAACATTTAAAAAGGAAAATAGGTTTTCTTCGTTCTTAATTTTTTTTTCAATGAGTTATTAGTTAAAAAGAAAACCGCAATAATGTAACTGCGCGCACACAAATATATAAATTGACATGCTTTAATAATGTGTATTTTTAATTTATACAAAAAGTTAAAGGGTTCTTAAGATAGATATAATATCGTTTAAAATCAGTTTTATATAGTTTCAATAATCGCTATTTTGGTAATTACCTAAAAGAAAATTAGTATCTACATATCTTGATTTTCAACATTATTATCAACAATAAAACATAAAAAAAACGGGTCTCAATTAAAAGAGAAAGCAACTAAATTATCTTCTCAAAAACTATTAAATATTTTATAACTTTGAAGTTTTCCCATTAGTAAAAATCAATAAATATGTCCATATTTAAATTTTGTAGTTCTTTATATAAAAATTAAATTGAAATGAAAAGAAAGTATTACAGGATACATTGACTGTAGATATGAATGTTGTAATCCATAATTTAATATGGAAACTGAAAAAAGAGATCTTTTATCTCAACAATGAGTATAATACAGAACTATACTAGGTTTACTAGAAGAAAAAAACAGTTATAAAACAATAAAAATATATTTACATAAAAAGCTTAATGCTAGAACTTGTTAAGTATTGGTTTTATGGATTACTCAAATATTTAAATTAAATAATAGCCAGTCGGGGAAAAAAAGTACAAGAAAGCATAATTAAAGATTTATCATGACAAAATAGAACTTGGTGAATATCTCAGCTAAATAACATGTGTAAAATATTATTGCAAAGTGTACAAAATTCCTGCAAAAAATATAACCATTGCTGTCACAATAGGAACACAATATTTTTGAAAAATGTTTCTGTTGTCTTTAATGACTACAACTTTCTTTTCCTTATACTTCTTCTTTTTACTACTTAATTTCCATTCATATTCTTCCAGTTCTCTGCGGTTTTTTTCTTCCTCTAATTCTTTCAACCTCATCTCTTCTCTTTCTTTTTCTAATTTTGCTGCCAACTTTTTTTCTTCACAAGTAGCATCACAATTGATTTTAATTTCAGAATTTCGAACCAAATTGCAAGGTGCTTCTTTTTTTAAGTTCCCACAAAGGCAAGATGTTTTTGTTTTTCTTGTACAAACTTGATCTTTGCCACAGGGCTCTTTGTGACAATTTTTTTTACACCTATGACCACAATCCAGATTTCTGGAGCATTGTTGTTTACATGATAATAGCTCCTCAGTACCCAAAGACAGTTCATTACAACGTAAATATAACTCTGTTACGGCACAGTAACATTTGATTCTTTCTAATATTTCACAAGGTGGACATACACCAGGATGGCAGCCTCCTTTAGGACATTTATGTGAACACTTATTTGGACGGGGAACTGAGCATCCTTTATTACATGGTTTACAAGTAGAAGGCACATTAGGATAATCAGGATCAAGACTATATAAATGACATAAAAGTGAACATTTATGGTTAGTACATGCCAGATCTTTGCCGCATTCCCTACCACAGCAACGACGAGACGCCGAATGGCATGGCTGCAGTTCTTTGTCATGTTCACCAAAGCAAACAACAGTCACAGGAGTTTCGCAAGGCGGGCAGTCTAATGCCATAACTTTAGTTTTAGGTGGTTGAACCTCCCATGGTGTTGCTGGCTTTTCAACTTGTTTGAAAACAACTGTTACATATTCATGACAAAGAGATTTGCAACTGTGATTGCATTTATTATACATTTTGTAGCAAATAGCTTTACAAGGTGGACAATCACCAAAATGACAGGTGTGTATATTTTCATCTGCATGTCCACACTTGTACTTAATTTTACATGGCAGGTTACACTTAGGAGGCTTTACATATTTTTCCCTGCCACAAGGTACTGTAATAAATGTTTCTTTACAACGACAAGTCACTTTTGATTCTCTAGGACAAGGATAACATGGACCACCATGACATATATTAGAGCATCTGTGGCGCCCACACTGTAAGGGCTTGTCACAGGTTTTTTCGCAAGGAGGGCAGTTACCATTACAACATTTTCTAGCACAGGTATGTTTACCACATGGTCTAGTGCCTCTACATTTTGTATCACATTTAAAATCTTTGCTACATGGCAATGCTTTAGTGTGAGTAGAACAATAACATTTCTTGTCAATCATTACTTGACACGGGGGACAAGGTCCTTTATGACATTTTTCTGGACATGTGTGTTCACAAAGTATTTGCTTTTTTCCACAAGTTCCAAGACATGTCTCAATTATATCTGGACACTGAACAAAACTTTGATTAGCACCACAAGGACAGGACTTGAGCCCTGAGTTAGGACACATACCACATGAACCTTCATGGCACATAAGAAGACACTTGTGGAACTCACAGGAGTATAGCTTGTTGCAAACTTTGGAACACTGCCATATCAAATCATTGCATGGTCTTTTAACTTTCTCAGAGCCACACAAACAAGGTTGAAGACTGGTATAATTACATTGCATGCAGTCTCCTTCGTGGCAGATATTTTCACATTTATGTGAAGTACAGGGGAGTATTTTTTCACACTGTCTGTTACAAGACCATTTAGATGCACTACATCTAACCCTCTTTTGCTCTTTGCCACAATAACATGTTCTATTTATTGTTTGGGGACATGGTGGGCAAGGACCAGGGTGACAAAGCAACAAACATTTGTGTTTACAGTTATCACCTGTTGAAAGTTGTTTTTCACAAACTTCACCACATGTGTGTGGCACCAACCAAGGGTGATATTGTGGGTCATCTGTCTTTCCACAAAAACATCGATATCTGCGAGGTATCTCGTCTTTATTATATGATTTCCTACATTTAGGACAGCACCACTCTATTTTTCTAGGCTTAATTACAGTGATTGGTGCGCCGATGTCTTCTGTACGCAAACTTATACTATCATTTGCCCATTTTTGTATACAAGAAAGATGGAAATAAGAATAACAGTTGTCGCAGGGCCAGATAGCGTCAGCCCTCTTAATAGATCCAATACAAATTAAACACGTAATAGATCGACCGCTTAAAGCCTCTTCTAGAAGATTCTTGGTCCTGTTTACCATCTGCGTGTCGCCACCACCTCGCCAATAACTCTGGAACACACCATCTAATACACTGAGATCGTAGGGTTCCTCGTCTTCAGATGATGAGAGATCTTTCATTTCTTTTAAATGCTTGTGAACATTCTGCTGCAGTTTCGCAGCTGCGTCGCGGTATCTTCGCGCCATGGCTTTAGATTAGTAGAAATACTAGCCTAGAGGGAAGACTCGACACTCTATGTCATTATTTTTATTAGAAAATTTTGCCAAAAAAGTTAGTCTTAGTGAAACGTGTAAAACCACGGAGCAAGTAAGTAAAAACATTTCAATAATTTCATCTTGAATTGAACAACTCATTATTTTTATGTCAATGTAAAAGATTGTCAAATGATAAGGGATGACAACACAATGACATTTCAACAATTTTTCTGTAGTACAGACTATCATAACATGTACTTACAATTATACTTATAATATTTAGATAAGTCTTAAGTAGAGCTTTTCCTTATTTTCCCGATATAACACCTAGATAAAATTAAGATATATGTAGGTTCTTATTTTTCCCATATGTGAAACTTAGAACTCTTCTCGTTGGTAATCTCGTCCTGATTCTGGTTTAAAGATTTTATTCCAAAATTTCAGTAAATCTACTGAGCTCAAAAGAAAAACAAAACATCATACCTATGTGAAAAAAATTTATCCTTTACTTTTTAAATATTGTATATATTTAGTATATGCATAATATTCATTGTTAAAATATATGAAAAATTTCAATATGTAAAATTAATAACAATAATATCAGAGATTCACATGAATCACATAGTCATACATACCATCAAGTAAATATTAAGATTAAATATATATTATATCTATAAAAATTATGTTATATACATATCACAGTTAAGTAAAGAATTATCGACGAATTAATGGCTTTATGTCACTAATAGGTTTACAGTTCTTGTCAGCCCACGGTAGAAAATATTTGCCTGTTGCTTGCACACAACTTAGAAGCATGATACAATCTGCTTCTGCTCTATGTGATGCTGTAGCTTCTTTATTCAAAAATCTTTTATACAAAACAGATAATTGACAGGATATTTTCTCCGGTTTCTTCATTTTATCATCATCACTAGATAGTTTCGAAAATGACTCTTCATAACTTGTCGATTTCAAGCCACTCTTCAGCACTTGTATTTAATGGTGGCCACTTATCCTCATCATCAGTTAGCAATTCATCATCTTCCTGTGATGATGTCTGCCGATCTTGTTTATTACAAACACTTGTATAGTTTAAGTCTTTATAAGTTATATTAGTATCTTTTATAATTTTGCGAAATCCAGTTAGGGAATCCAAACATAATAAATCATTAGGTAAATGTTCACCAACATCACAATATTCTGCTTGAAGTATTTTAAAGTCAAATCTATTTCCATTGTGAGCAATGAGACATACTGGCTTTGGTAGACTTGTCAAAAAAGAATTTATAATTTGTATTCTATTTTTAAAAATTGGTTGATTTTTTAAAGTTGTTATCGATAACCCAGTTATTGCAGTTACCTTTGGTTGAATCTTTCTTTCTGGATTAAAAAGTAGAGAGAGTTTATTCATCAACGGGAGTGTTTCACTAGTTACTAAATCCTCACGCGATACCGCTACGAAGGATAATTCTGTGATTTTCGTTCTACACAGTTCAAGTTGAGGCAGCCCAGTAGTTTCAATATCAAAGAATACATAAGTCTCTATTTTTGCCATTATTGTATCTGTAAATATAGAGGGATGTGTGAAACATAAGACAATTAGAAGTAAGTATATACAAAATAAAACTTACAAAAGTTATCCCGAACTGTCCACTATTACAGTGTTTTAAACTTGAACTGAACGAAGCATATTCTATTCCTTATGTTATCACATATGAACAAGTTATGAATTATGTATAATATACATATAAACTACAAACATTATAGCTGCAATGAGTCATTTTTCTTATTTTGGTACGCATTGTTTATATTAAATCATTAATATTAATAGTCTGTACACAGATATAGTGGGATATTATGTGCAAAACAGTCTGACAAGTCTGACGCCACAAATGTATAGTCTATGAGAGAAACATAGCGTCTCTATTAATTTTAGATCTTTGATTTGTCTCGGAAACTAATAATCGACTGATTTAGTCAGATATTTATCTCTTAATAATTAAGTGTATGTAATGAAACTGATATAATAGAGAATTTAAGCGTCTGTGCCATGTTTAGTACTACTAAACCAAAAAATGCTTCTACGTAATGCCGACTTAACTGGTCCACATAAAATATCATGCAGAAATTACTGATCAGGCGCAAGTATCAGTAATGCTATCTCTACATATCCCTGATAGATATACATACCCTTAAATATGGAACCCCCTTATCTTTTTATATAAAAGAACAATATTATGTTTAAAACTGTTACATAGTTTATTTATGTAGATGCGTTTTGTATAGATTAATTAGTTACATTGAAGATAAGAATGAAGAAAACGGATATTTAAGAATTTTTTTTTTTAAGTATTTTATGTTATAGTTTACTAGATTATATTATTATGTTTATTTGATTTTGTCGAAGCCTTACATTGCTTATATACCTGAATATTGACCTCACCGACAAATCCCGCTTAGACCTTGTTTTCCCTCAACTAGAGGGCTCTATTTAAATGGATATAGGGTAGTAAAAATAATTTTCAAATTAGATATCTTTATATTTATATGTATCATAATAATTATTCTCATATCCTAGATAAATTATGTAGAAAGCTCTGTGTAAAAGTATTGCTATGTTTAAGTAGAGATCTTAATACAGAACAATATTAATATATAGATAATATATCTTACAGAAGCTCTTATATTTCTATTTTTATTGTTATTGGTAACATTTATTTATTTTATAAGTATTAGTAAGCGGCAAATAAGTATGAAATATTTAAGAATACTTTGAATTCGAATGACAACTGTGATTTCATATATGTATGCATTTAAACATAATATTATCTGAGCAACAGCACGGAACGCTGACGATGCCGGTTCAAGTCCTGCCCGAGTCGAAAATTTTTTCAATTTATTTAGGATTTTTAAATTATAATATTATCTGTCTTATGATTTCTAAAATGTCCCTATTTGCTCATGTACCTGTATAAAATTAGATATTTACCACCTTTGAAGCAATATAATTTAATGCCCGTTAGAGCTTATATATTTAATGAAAAAATATTTCACATTGAAAATGTATCTTTAGATCGTACATTTTCAATCGTAATACGATCGTTTAGAATTCAAAAAATAACAAATCATATTTATTAACCTTTAAAATTTTTGAATAATAGCATTACAGATTTTTTTATTCATAATCGACGAATGGCACTTTTTTAAAGGTTTCTTAAATCGTAGCCGTATAAAATAGTAGCTACTAGTAATAAGATAAAACCATAATAGGTATTATCTTTGCCATAATAAAAAATCATCTGCTATTGGTACATTTAATTACAATGATTGTTAAAAGTATTTTCTCTAATTTACAATTTATGTTAACTTTCCTTTTAGTAACTACAACATTAGGAAATATTAATGAGCAAAAATGTTAAACCGTTCTTTCTTTTGTTACTAAAACTTGCGTTAAACCACACACCGCCTTTTCCCTATTATGTGTCTTTTAAATGTTTTTCGTATTAATGATTAATATTTTGAAATCGAAGTTTATCGTACACGCGTGATTTCTTGTTTCTTATTCTTAGATAATTTAAACCAGCCAGCTTTTTTATCTTTGGGAATCGATGTTGACCGCGAAATCGGATGGCGTTCGCCTCTGTTCAAAATCTCACTCGATTGACTCCGACCATTTGTACTCTTGCGCGGTATCGTACTTTGAGATGTTTGGGAATCATTCCCGCGCTTTTGCGATCTGTACAGTGACGTACTCGAACTTGTTAATCGGTTACTGTTATTCGGCTTTCGAGTCAAAGTGGTTTGACTGTGAGATTTTTTCCGTAATGTTGCCGGTCTGTCATCTGTCAAATTTTTCGACGAAGAATACTTTTTTGGCGTACTCTCCTTTTTCAACTTGGGTTTCTGCGCGTAATGTACGTCGTATTGATCGTTGTAGTGTTTGGGGGTCCACGGGGCAAAGAGGGAGAATGTTTTGGTTGTGTTTCGAACTTGAATGTTAGAGGACATCACAGATGATACATCATCCCGAGAGCGGTTTCTTCCAACACGGCCGGGATCGGGAATATCACCAACTGAAACACCAACGTAAATTTTAAATACCTCTTAGACGGGAATTGGTAATCTTGTTAAAAATGTTGTTGGAAATGTACCTGTCGTGGCATGTAAATAAACGACGCTTCGCTGAGATTGGTGACTGGAGTCTCCTTCAGTGCTACTCTCGCCTGAGTTTGCTACTGGAGTCCGCCGGCGATATCTGAAATAATTAAAAAAACATAAGGTCATTTGCTCATCCATATACTGCAAACTCATTTATGTAAAATGTACATAATGGTCTTACTTCATATCCCTGCTTTCAGATTTTCCACTCCTGAGCTCTGACGAACTACCTCTATCGTCTCTGGCATGCCTTCTGATATCTCCGTTACTTGCTTTCAAAGTTTTGTTACTGCTATGGCTTCTTGACCTATCGTATGGACTTATAGGAGGTTTGGTTGCCATTTTTCTATCAAACTGACTCTCTACTTCAGTATTGCTCATTTCAGATATATTCTGTAGGTTTCTTTTATAGTATTCTTTTGTACGTGGTGATACACTTTCTCTTCGTTTTTCACCTCGGTGCAGGTTAGAAAGAGAATAGCTTTTGTTTGAGAGTTCACTGTGATCTACCTCGTCAAGTCCATTGCTTGAGTTCGATGTGGTCTTCCGTAGGGTTCCGTGGGACTTTATCGGATGACTTTTTGTCTTCGTGACGGTTTGTTTGGTGTTTGCATCCGATTCTGGATCAGTATCGCCGAAGAATCGAAGGTTCTTACCTGGTGAGTTTAAGGGTTTTCTCGGTTTTGGCCAATCTCTACGTAGAGATTCGTCTTCCGTTGTAATAATGCTTTCTTTTTCCACCTGAAATTGGTAACAGTGGATATTATCATATCGTAATTAAACAAAAGTACCGTTGTATATGTGTACGTAATTGTGGAAAGTCTAGTTACTACAAATAAATTGTTGGTATCGATATTTTAACAGTTATTTAATACGTACCTTTGCGTTTTTGTCTCGTTTTTTGCCAAGGCGATCTAATGACTTAAACCAACTTGAAGATTGTGTTGTCTGACGACGTGGAGGTGATGGTGTTGGACTCGGGGTGGCTAGACGTCTTCTTTCACGGTAACGTTCCGCCTGGAATAAGACATTTTGATTCATCGCCATTTTGTAACAAAACTATCTGCCACCGCTGTTTTACAACTTATTGTGATTTTTATTGGCATTTTCAAGAAGATAATTACTTACTTACACTAATTTTCTGGCTTCATTTTAATAACCAGTTTGAGGTAGTTAAAGTTTTTGCTTGTTCTTATCAGCGGCAATTGCTCAAGAAAAGGATTTTTTTGCAGTCAAGTTCCACGGGAGTAAAAAAATAACTATTTTAATGAAACATCGTGTGAAAGACGTGATTGATGGTCCAGTGTCTAAGGTCCATTGAACTCTCAAGTGCCTCTCAATCACTGACTTTTGAGGAAGCTTTTGAGGATAATATGTTATTTTTTATTAATTTTCTATACATAGATTTTTTTAGGTCATTTAAAAAGGAATAATTCTTTTATACAATTTTTTGGGTATCTTGAACCGTTATCGCAGCGTACGAAAACCCACAAAGATGAATAATTTTCCCCGTTTCTTCGCTTCTATTAGTCACAGCGTGATGTTTTATAGCCTAAAGCCTTCCTCGATAAATGCTCTAACCAACACAATTTTTTTTTTAATTTGAACTGGTAGTCTCTGAGATTAGCGCGTTTAAACAATCAAACTCTTCAGCTTTATATATTAGTATATATAGATATTAAGATCTAGCTATGAGATGTTTATTCGCGGACGTGCATATGTGGTCTAACATAGTCAAAGTTATTAACTAGTGTCGTATTGGCAAAATTAAATAGTTTTAATAATAATAATTGCTCTGAACCGGAACGAGTAAACGTTCACATTTGCGATACAAGGCCGTGAACCATATGGCGCGCGACCTTATCGCAATGAATCGATTTTTCTGAAATTTCACTTCCCCAAATTTGGAAATCGTAAGCTTTTTAATTTTATTCATGAAACATAAATTCCAACCAAATTAAAACGGAACGGCTTTATCGATTCTTTAATAATCGATTTATATGAATGTTTAAATTATTCACTCGACAACACTTTACGACCTTAACGTATATTACCCGATTTTATTACGTTTCATGAATTATGTGATTTTGCGAATACTTGGGCTAATTAAAATAATAAAAGTAAAAAGAAGCGGCTCGCAGTTAATATTATTTAAAAGTGTTATTAGTTTTGAACAGGAAAGAAAGTGTAGCGTTTGTTTATTTACAAACATTATTTTTTGGCATTTCGGCAATTTTAGACAACTTATGATAGAGGACAAAATAGCATGGGTTCTCTTGGTGGTGGTGATACACCCCAGCCATATCTACCATTTAAACAAGATGCGTTGTTGACCTATTTAGGCTTTGGATATTCGGAAATCCAACACAAACCGTAAGTTAATTAAATTTGACGGTTTCATCTCTGTGTTGTGACTCAGACGGAATTTCGATTTTCCTACCACCCATTTCCAGACGAATTAAAAAAATGTTGGGTCCCCGGTGGGAATCGCACCCGCGACGATTATTAGCCACACATACATTGCTACCATTCTACCAACGAACCTTTCAAAGCCAATCAAGCAAATGCTGTCGTTGATTTGTAATTATTAATTATACAACGCAAATGTGTAAGTGTTTATTAACAAAGGCAATATATAGTTCAAGAAATCTGACCCGCCATATTTAGTTCGCTAGGTGCAGCTTGAGTCATGCAGCGTGCGCTTACGCAATCTTGTTTATTTCTAGCTCACTTGCCTGTTTATTGCCTACATTTCACTGTTAAATTAAAATACCTTGACAGGTGCACGAAATTCTAATAAAATTGTGTGCGTTTGTTTTAATGTCGTCATTGGTTTAGATTTATTCATTCATATAATAATTAGAAGAACGTAGAGTTTCCAAAGGTTTCAAATTAAATATGTTTTTAGTAACAAAAGCTATATAATTTTGTCTAACCAAAATCTAGGGTCGAATTAATATAAAACTTATAAGTAATAGATACGTAAAGATATTCAATTTATATTAAAAATTTTGGTTAAAGTCATAATAACATTCAGTAATAACAACATCAACATTGTTGTGACAAATAACCGGTTCGATTCCTGACGCGGACGAAATGCAAATTTCGATCCGGACTCCGCACTTCAGACCAGTTATTTCCATTAAATTAACTCTTTGTTTTGTACGTATCATTCTTATTTGGCGTTTTATAAAAACGGCCAAGAGCGTTCTACGGAATTTTAAAATTTTTTTTGTTAGTTCTATAACAAATAGACACCACCCAAATTTGTTATATTAAATTAAAATTGAAAACGAACTACACAGAAGATGTTATAAACCGTCCATTATATTTTTATAAAAACCGGTACGCTTACGGCGTTTTGAGAAATAAGTAAATATAATCTATGCAAATAACAACGTCAGTTATAAGGCACAGATATGGAACCAGTTATACGCAAACCATTAAAAATCATAGTTAAATAACAGTAAAACACCAATACAATCAATTAGCACTTGCGATATAATCGGTGGTAATGATTTTTGACGAAAACACGAGAAATATCACTTCGAAAACATAATTGACTTCACAGTTAGAATAACAATAGAATAACTTAGGTACTTATTCCGAATAAAACATATGTAAAAATGCGAGGATAGTAAGGCAATATAATATAATGCGTTTATATCAATTACTGGCTGTGTCAGTGTCAGGCTCGTCACCCACGACGTCGTCCGAGTCCCGTCGTTCTTGATAGTTAATCTTAAAATATGGACATATACTGTCACAGTTTTTTTTTGTGCATTTAAAGAGGAATGATTGTATGTTTCTTTGGGTATCTTAAACCGTTATCGCAGCGTACGCACTTTTTCGACATTTCCCACCGTTTCTTCGCTCCTATTAGTCACAGCGCTGTTTTATAGCCTCCTTCAATAAATGCTCTAAATCAGACAAACATGTTTTTTAAATTCCAACCAGTGGTTCCTAAGATTAGCGCGATCAAACAAACATACAAACTGTTCAGCTTTATATATTAGTATAGATGTGTTTTCTTAGACCCTAAAAAGTGCTCAATACAAGTATCATTCAGGTTATGTATCACAGATAATCAGTAGATTGTATTTCCGGTTGCTATTTGTACATCCTTAATGAACTTATTTTGAACTACTTAACTATTTAATGAAGCCATCTTCACTAAATTAGCTACTGGTTTCACGCTTACGGTACAAAGCAATGTTACACAATAAACAGTAAAAAAGAGTATTATAAAATTGCAACCAATTGAATATTAATAATTTATAAAGTTTTAATTTGTTATCATCCTTCTAGTCCGTAGAAAAAATAAATAATCGACACACAAATGTAAATGTATCCATTCAAAGTAAGGACACAAGACTTAATTCGGGCATATCAAAGACTAACTGTGACAGCGACTTCTTCTGCGTAGAATAGTTATTTTGGGCGTCAAAATTTGTTTTTGCAAACTCACGTTCAACTCTATATGTATATTTAAGCTGTTACCCAATATGACTTTCGCGTTCGTCGTTCTTGCAAGTTAATCTTAAAAGATAGACATATAGATATACATATGTCGCGGAGATTTTATTTAGATCATTTAAAGGAATCATTCTTTCATACATATTTTTTTGGTATCTTGAACCGTTTATACAGCGCACGCCACGGTAACACTTAAAGATGAGTCATTTTCCCCGTTTTTTCCACATTTCCCACTATACCTATTAGTAGGATCGTAATGTTTTATATCCTAAAGCCTTCCTCGATAAATGCTATAACCAACACAAATATAACTTTTCAATTTGAACCCGCGGTTCTTGAGATTAGCGCGCTCAAACAAACAAACTCTTCGGCTTTATATATTAGTATAGATTATGCAGTAAAGTTCTTGCATATACAAATAAAGTTCAAGTAAAATAACTTACAATGGAATCTAAGAACATAAAGCTCCATCTTATTTTTGACTTTGCTTGATTAAACATATTAGCCGCGTCACAAAAGCTCGGTTCAACACCCTGAGGTCAATGTCGGTTTGACAGTGATGTCATCGGTGTTTATAATCTGTGGTCCTGCATTACAGGTCATTAATTTTGGTTTGTAATTTGTGATGCTCTTTTTTTGGGAATTACTGAGAAGATGGTCGGTACTTAGAGGATTAAAGAAGATTTTTTATATTGATTGAATTGACTTAATATTGAAAAGGAATTTTGAACCGGACTTTGCAGTCAGCTTAGAGTACCAAAAATTACAAACAAAAAAGTATTTACTTCGAAAACAGTATTAAGTATACAGATCTGTCTGTAGTTTACGCGAGTAGTACACATTTAAATATAACACTTTAACGGTTTAAAACGCGATATATATTAGTTAAACGTATTTGAGAATTATTTTAATTGGCCACGTCTCTCTTTGACCACGGCTGCTGCAAAGCATCCGAAACGTCGGCCAGTACTTACTAACAAATATATAAAGCGTTTTAAACGTTAACGTGTTTTATTTAAAAGTATAAAAATCTGTTTCAAATTTAGCAATATTATTAGCCGTATCATACGAACTTAAGGTTTACAAGCAAGAATAAATAAGGCTTAGCAGGAAATTTACATCTCGCTTCATAAAATTTTATTTACAGTATGTTAACATGCGCGTAATGAGTTCCAAGTAGGGATAAACCGTGGTGTATCAGTCATCGACATCGGCAGCTTGTACACGCACTGAATTATCGATGGATTATCTGTACATCACTAGAATTTTAAAACGGACCGTCGAATAAAGAAGTTTTAATTTTATATACTGCACTAATCCTGCAGAAAATGTTACCGTCATTCTTATCGAAACAATTTTAATAAAGGACTTGAAATGTAGCCATTAAACTTATGGTAAACGCTATTTTGCTGGCAGTGGCTTACAGTTTTTTCAATTACAGCAGATGTAGTTGTCTAGAGTTTTGTACGCGACTGTAATTTTACATAAAATAGTCACGTTCAATCCCTTGAACTCTTAATTCACATTGTGGCTTCGTTAATGTAATGAGATAGAACAACACATACATTATGTAAATCTGCAACAATTGAGTGGTTAACGAGAGTTAGGAATATCAATTTTATTTATTTATTTATTTATTGGGTAAGGACTGTCGACATTTTATCACAATTACAGAACCTTAAACTTAAAATATGCAAAAAACAAAACAAAATTGAAAAATCGAAAATAAATTGAAAAAATTTTCGACTCGGGCAGGACTTGAACCGGCATCGTCAGCTTTCCGTGCTGTTGCTCTACCAATTGAGCTACCGAGTCCTACACCTCATCGTCGAATTTTTTCAACTTATTGATACATGCACCTCTCGCGCAATGTAATTTCTACCTTAACACTTGCGTATTAAGGCTCAATGTCTTATGCTTTGCAGCTTAAGAAATCATTGAAGATGAAATTACAAAGTTATAACGTTTGAAAACATTAATATTTTTCACATGTTATTGCACATGAAGGCACTATATAATTTAAAAATCGAAAATAAATTGAAACAATTTTTTGAGAGGTGCATGTATCAATAAGTTGAAAAAATTCGACGATGAGGTGTAGGACTCGGTAGCTCAATTGGTAGAGCAACAGCACGGAAAGCTGACGATGCCGGTTCAAGTCCTGCCCGAGTCGAAAATTTTTTCAATTTATTTTCGATTTTTAAATTATATAGTGCCTTCATGTGCAATAACATGTGAAAAATATTAATGTTTTCAAACGTTATAACTTTGTAATTTCATCTTCAATGATTTCTTAAGCTGCAAAGCATAAGACATTGAGCCTTAATACGCAAGTGTTAAGGTAGAAATTACATTGCGCGAGAGGTGCATGTATCAATAAGTTGAAAAAATTCGACGATGAGGTGTAGGACTCGGTAGCTCAATTGGTAGAGCAACAGCACGGAAAGCTGACGATGCCGGTTCAAGTCCTGCCCGAGTCGAAAATTTTTTCAATTTATTTTCGATTTTTAAATTATATAGTGCCTTCATGTGCAATAACATGTGAAAAATATTAATGTTTTCAAACGTTATAACTTTGTAATTTCATCTTCAATGATTTCTTAAGCTGCAAAGCATAAGACATTGAGCCTTAATACGCAAGTGTTAAGGTAGAAATTACATTGCGCGAGAGGTGCATGTATCAATAAGTTGAAAAAATTCGACGATGAGGTGTAGGACTCGGTAGCTCAATTGGTAGAGCAACAGCACGGAAAGCTGACGATGCCGGTTCAAGTCCTGCCCGAGTCGAAAATTTTTTCAATTTATTTTCGATTTTTAAATTATATAGTGCCTTCATGTGCAATAACATGTGAAAAATATTAATGTTTTCAAAACAAAATTGTGTAAAACACTTATAGACAGACACAACATGTAAAGGAAAGACAAAGTGAGGACTAAGTTGTACAAGAAGGAATACATTGAAAACGTTATAACTAAGATATACGACTATAATATACTAAATTAAACTGAGAGGGCTGAAGACAACAAATTACTAAGTTTTCTGGGTGAATCCAGGTGTAGATCGATTAAGTGACTATGCTCATTTGCAACTTGACAACATCTCGATAATGGCGAATTGGCACCAAACACAGTTCTGCGTAGTGGAGTGCGAAGGGGGGGTTGAGGGCTTGCGAGGATATTTGGATGGGACATAGTAACTTATTTTGTGTAATAGCTGGGGAGAGTCAATTTTATTTTGTAATAATTTCGATAAGAATATATACTAATATAAATATTTATATTGTTGAATTATATATTGTTGAAAATAATATAATATTTTCAACAAAGGTAATATTTTTAGACTGTGAGAAGCTGTTGCCAAACCTTTAAAGATTTTTCAGCTTATTTCATTAAATAAATGAAATTGGTTACGTTTCTTGCATCAGACCAGATACATAATACTAATTATTTAGTGTCACGATATTGGGATACAACAATCACGGGCGTGCTATAACGTAAAGACAGGTTAAACGGACTTTCTACTTTCTTTTACTTCTTTTGCTCTTAAATGTAAAGCTGAAGAGTTTGTTTGTGCGAACGCGCTAATCTCAGAACGATTAGGTGAATTGCGGAAAATCGACGCTGTGACCAATAGGAGGAAAAAACAGTGGGAAATGTGGAAAAAACGGGAAAATATGTTTATGGGTGGCCGTTGCGTGTGCTGCGAAAACGGTTCAAGATATCAGAAAATATATATGAAAAAAATATTTTTCTTTTAAGACTATCTTGCTTGAACGAGGGGACGCGACCGACCGATGAGGTTTGCGAAAACAAATTTCGATGCCAAAAATAACTATTCTACACGAACGAAGCCGCTCGCACAGCTAGTAGCATATAATATTCAGGAAACTACAGGGTACTGGATATGTTGTTGTGAATGTATCGTCGTTGTTTATTATTATCATCTATTATAGGTGACCTACTCAAGTAGGTATATCAAAGGTCGAGGATCGATAGCACTTAGAACCGCTCCCATCACCGCTTTTAGTCTCTGACATAACTGTAGTACCTATCTGTAAGTCATGAGTATTGAGTAATGTTATTCAAAATAATATAGAGAAAGGAAGCATTAAGTAATCATTTTATTTGTACGCTTTACTAGGAAATGATTCAGCATGTTATTGATAAAGTATGTGATAAATATTTATACATACACACAGAGAAATAGTGGTATTATAAGGAATTGGGTAAATTTTTGAATAACAAAATATTTAACAAAAACGGTTCCTTTTGCGTACGGTACTGATCACAGAGCAACACAATTTTTTTTCCTAACTAATGACGTCATTGTTGCTACTTGATTTGAGGGCGTTTTTAAATCACGAGATCAAGTATAGAAATTAAGCTATTCGTTATTTTGCTTAAGAAACTATTATAGATAGACTTGCAAATTTCTTTGTAATTCGGTGTACTAGATAATTATTATTAAACCACGTTTTAGTTACGGTTTACATGGATCTGACGACAAAATGACCAAGAATTTACCTGAATTTGTATATTCTAAAATAAGTAAAACAAACAGATCATATATGATGGAGAAGACTTACCAAAGCAGGTGAGTCCAAAGGTCCTGCTGTCCTTGATCGGGTAGATTTTCTCTCGCTATCTCTTTCCGCCCGTTGATGATCACTTTCTCTCTCAGACGATGTGTGTCGTCTCCTTTCTTCTTTGTATCTTCTTTCTTCCCGTAGTGTTCTATCAAACCTTTAAATTTATATTCTAATCAGTATACATTTGTTATTCGAAGGTTTATTAGGTGGTACAGACGTTACGGCTTATTAATATATATCATTTCATATAGTGTGAAAAGCTCTAACCGTTCACCGTAGCCTGAATCCTTGTAACACTCTTCCCTTCTTTTTCTCTCAACCGGGTACCTGTCAAGGTCTTCTCTCGAATTATTATATTTCCTATCGTCTCTATAATCTTTTTTCCTCATCTCAGTATCACTGGGTTCAGGATCTGTGTACCTGAAAATTTGTTGTGTCAAATAAATTAATCTTATCTTTTCCGAAGAAGTATAATTAAAAGTCATTATAACTACATTTTGTATTCAACGTATATTCATTGTAATCCAGTTCCTATATTCATTAGGTACTAGCTGTGCCCGCGACTTTGTTCGCATGGAATAGTGACTTGGGGTAGAATCTTTAATTATTTAGGCTGTTTATTAATTTATGTAATTGCACATTTATCGCAGCCAATCTATGTTGTAAGTGCTACTTTGCTGCAACACTCTCATCTCACATCACTCCTACTTTAAATCCCCCTCTCACGCTCACTCTCACTCCCACTCCTATTTCCAAAAAGCCAAAGAAGACAGTTTCATTGTTCTATTTTCAAAAACCACGAATTTCCATACAAACTTTCACCCCCCTTTTAACCCCTTACAACCCCCTTTTCGCAATAAAAAGTAGCCAATGTGCTTGCGTTTTGGCGTGAAAGAGTAACAGACAGACAGACAGAGTTACTTTCGCATTTATAATATTAGTAAGGATATTGTTCTTCTTTTTCGATGTTATACCTTATGTAGGTGGTTTTAAATCGTAGGATGTTTGAAGCGACAACTTAATATCTATATGTCTACTTAGATTCTTAGCCATTATAGCGAAGAGTTTTATTGTTAATTAAGATAACTAACTTAATAAAAAATATAAATTTTGCTAAAGAACCTTTAAAATAAATACACACCGTAACAACAGTATATACATAACAGTACCTTCTGTAGTCTGAGTCGTGTCTGGCAAGATGTTCAGGGCTCTTGAGCACCCGCGTGCGAGGCTTCTTCTGTACTACATCTTTCTCTTTCTTGCTCTTCTTGGAAGAGTCGCGAGAGAATAGTTGTTTCACCTACAAGTGGATTAAAATGATAATTTTTTTATCTCACTTTTAGGATTAAACTACGTACATTGATATCTCAATATTGCTATAAAGAATATTGTTTATACAATAAAACTAACCTTTTCAAGTCCCGAAAGCTTTTTCACTTTTGGTGGTTTCGCACTGATGTTTTCTACATGTTTTGAGCTTTTCTCGTACCTCGAAAGAGGATCAAAGTCATCACCATTTCGTTCCGTACTCCGTGTCTTGTCCTTATATCTGTAGTCTTTTGATTTAGACAAATAATCACCGTTTGCATATATTTGTTCACCTGGATAATTATCTTCGGCGAATTGTCTTTCGCTGGCTAAAAACAGAGATGTGGTTCGAGCATCATCATCGCTTACTTGTCTTCTATGTCTCGTTTTATGAAGTTCCCCGCTTGAGTTGAGCCTGAAATCGTTTTCAATTCCTGAATCCACCAAACGACTGTCGAAATCATAGCGACGTGGTGACATCTGTTCACGATAATAGTCGCGACTATCACCAGAATCATGTCTTTTGATGGTATTGTAACTCTTTTCCTTGTTTTTAATTCGCCGCAAAGAATTATGAAAACTTTCCTGCTTTGGGTTATATCTGAGATTTGCATATTCATCTTCTCGTTCCTGGGCAATTTCAGGATTAGAGGAATAGTGTCCCTTCCTTTTTCCAAACCAGTCATCCTTAATTTTATACTTTTGGCCAGAATGCAAAAGCTCGTGACTAGAATTAAATTGCTTTTTAACCCTGTACTTTTTCTCTTTATATTCATCTGGTGAAACTGGTTTACCGGGATTTGATTCTAGACTGGGCGGCTCATATTCGGGTTCAGGCGGAAATATCTTTTGAACATTTTTAAATTTATTGGGCCTCTCTAAACTATCAATGAATTCACGCCTGTCAATATCTTCTTGAGGGGGTTTGGAAAATAACCTCGATTCTGTATTAAATTTTGTCTTGTGGTTATCCAATTCATATTTATAATCTTCGTCTAAATTATTTTCAAAACCATCTCGCTCGAGCGTTCGGCGATAATACCTTACAGTATCGTTTACATATTTTTCTGTTTGTTTCATCCGTTTTTCAGCTTCATATATTGGATCCTTCTCAACAAGATAGCGAAGTACAGGTTCATCCGGAGAAAGTAAACGGTCTCTTTCATATCTACGAGCATTAAGACGAGATTCAAGCAATTGACGTCGATGACTTAGTTCATTAAAATCTAAGTCTATTTTTGAATCTGGTTCAAACGTTTTCTTTTTAGTGTCCATGCCATCTGCTCTGCCTCTGAAGCTGTTAATCGGGTCCTGCAAACTTTCTTTGTCTAAATCGCCGTTAGCGTACATTGGTTCTAAATCTTCAAAACTCATTAATTTATATTCTCTAAAACGCGGCCGTATTGGTGATTCTTGTATGTTGAAACCATCTATACTATTAAAATTATTTTCGTTTTTATAATTGTAATCAAACACACGGTCATCGGAATATTTGTGTCTCTCTTCATATCCTAATCCTTCATCTTCATCTGATAGGTTGCGACTTTTTTCTCGTGGTGAATAAGTTTTGTGTAAAGTTTGTTTTGTAAAATTTGAACGAAAATCGTCGTTATCCTTTACAACTTTAGCGTAAAGACCACCCTTATCGACCATTTTGTTTACCGGTGTTGGAACTCTATCTGGACTTGTTGTCCTAATGAAAAGATTGGGATCTGGGCTAGTACTAGGTTTAGTGTAAGAAAATGGTTGGTTAATGTTACCACCTTGTATTGGCGCAATTAAGTGGCTTTTTGGTGGTGGTGAATGCTGGTCTTCTTTAAGGATTTTCACCATGTGGTCAACAGCATACCCTCTAGTTAATGGAGGCTTATCTGGTGGTTGTTGGCTACTGTGAATCATATCTTTCGTACCATATATGTTTTCCTCAATTTTTCTTATGCTGTCTTTTATTTTATCTTTAACATCAAGTGGTTTATCTTTCGTTTTTAAATCTAATTTATTAAAAAGATTAGACTTCTTAATTTCTACTTTACGTTTCGGTGTTTCATCAATTGGTGGCGAAGGCTCTTTGTCAGTTTCGCTAGATTTTCCTCTTTTCGTTCTAGAAGGAGGTTTAGGATTTTGATTTTCTTGAGCCTTAATAGGTTGGTATCTTGGTGGTTTCTCTATTGGATTAACTTTATTGTTATCTGAAAGAGATGGCTCAGATTCCGAATTTACAGCGATATCTTTTTCCGTCAAGTTTTGTTTTTGTAATAATTCTAGCGGAGAAACCTTTTTAAAGTAATCTTCTCTAGGTGAGCTTTCTATTATAGGGGACAGTTGCGATTTTTTGTTTCTTAAAGATTTAAGGAATTCTTCAGTTTCACTTCCAGATCTTTTCCGAATTGGTTTAGTTTTCGTGAGATTCGTGTTGGATTTTAAATCCGAAACGTCACTTTTGCTCCTTTTTACAATAACTGCCGGTTTAGTTGTAACAACAACAGGTGCATCAGGGCTTTTATTTCTTTGTCCTCGCCTGAAGAGCGTAGACAAGGACGTGCGTTCCTTTCTTTTCTTTGTGGTTACATCACTTGTGGATCTGCCAAGTGGCGTTTTTAAAATGCCGTCTGGTGATATAGCGTCGTCACTATTTCTTCGTCCAGACGCTTCTTTTAATTTCCGTCTGTGAGGCAGGGAAAAAAATTTCTCGGGTGAGTTATCGGCTGTGCAGGTAACGCTTTGAGCTTGAGCTATAACTTTATTTGCTTCTTCGATTAATTCTTTTTCAGATAAATGCGTAAATGGTTCCTTTCGTATAGTCGTAGACTGGTCAGCTAAACCCCGATCGCGTGTTTTACCTGAAAAAAAAACATCAAATTATTTAATTCATATATTTGTATACTATGAAACAACAAACAGTATTATTTTGTTTGTTAATATAAAGTTAAGTTATTGTTACGTTTGTTAATTATATTAACATTCATAAACAAAAAAATTGTTTACATATAGAATTAAAAAAATAGTTATTAGATAATATGTACCTTAGATCGCTAGGTATAACAGTTTTACATTTACGTGATGTAAGTACATCAATATATCTAATACCTACTGAGACGGTCACTCAACACATTAATCAAGATGTCAAAACAAATGTTTTTGTCCCGTCATTATTTCGATATAGCGATGATACTAAAATTATATTTTTTGCTCCTTCTGAGTTATTGAGAATAAGACACGGTCATGAATTTATCTCTTGAATATTTCATTCTCGTCTTGAAATGGTCTCTGCTTGATTGTATCGAGGTAGGCATGCTAGACTATCGACAAGAGGGCATAACTTCGACGCAAATTAATAAAACAGACAAAAGAAATGAATTTTTAATGACAGATTTTGTCAAAAATATCGATCACACTTTTTAACGGAATATATCGTGTGATTAAAACTAATCTTCGTATCACGTAATACGGAAGGACGGACATGAAACTCTAAATACGTACAATTAAAAATAATAATTATTTTTCACCTTATGATAGTATACTTTAATTATATAAATTATAATTAATTCATCTAGGGTGTGTTTAGACTGTCAATTTAAATAACTTAGTTATTTGGAAATTATTTTAACTACGGTGACTCTGTCCCGAAACGTCGGCCGTAGTTAAAATAATTTCCAATTAAGTTTAACTAATATATATCGCGTTATGAACCTTTGAAGTGTTTTATTTAAATGTGTACTACTCGCGTTAACTACAGACAGTATTTAGAATGTCTATTGTTCACTTGTAGCCTGAAAATCACTTAAAAATCATTTTGTATCAGATACTATATTTGTATACATTAATAGTAAGCTTAGTATTTAACTTACACGTGTGATGTATCTTTAGTTTTTTTAAGGTTAACGAACAGAAAACATATCCAGATGATTTCATGTTTATTTTGGCGTTGTTCAAAGTATATTGACATTCTGACTAATGTATGTAGGTGTACTCGAATACATTTTACATCCTTTTCACTATAGACCGAATGATAATGATCATAAGATAGCAGTTTAATCTATTTAATTTGCAAATCATATTTTTTTCATTATTAATGTAAGTATAAACGTTACGTTGCGTAGACATATAATTTTCAATGATTTACCGATGAAATCAAACCGCTCCCTTAATTATGTCTAGTGTATAGCTAAAGTAATATAAGGAGATGGGCTAAATACTGTCTACAGTTTACGCGAGTAGTACACATTTAAATAAAACACTTTAACGGTTTAAAACGCGATATATTAGTTAAACTTATTATAAATGATTTTTAACTTCGGCCCGACGTTTCGGTTGCTTTGCAGCAGTGGTCACGGCTAAATAAGTTTAACTAATATATCGCGTTTTAAACCGTTAAAGTGTTTTATTTAAAAGGAGATGGGCTCATTGGCATGATGGTAGTAATGTATGGTTAATAATCGCTGTCGTGGGTTCGATCCCAATGGATCCAACATGCTTCTAATTTATATTTTTTCTGGAATATGTTAGATTTCCACCACCGTCCACAGATAAGGCCGGGAAGTGTCATTGCGGTTAAGTCTGTGGATTTTCGAACATCAAAGCTAAAATAGGTCGACAGCTATGTAGCTTTGGTGTTTCACCTTTCATCAATTGAACTCCTTACTTGTCTATCCCCTTCTATCATAAAAAGGAAGATGATTATTTTGTTTTTCCGGTTTCTTGTTGTTTATATACAACATTAAACTTAAACACAATAAAAAAGATGGAAAGTTTAAAGTATAAGGACGAAGGGTGAGACAGGACATCAGTGTAACAAAAACTTTCTTGACGAAACCACATTTTTGTATGTTTGGAAGCCTTCTCGAAATTAATTTGATCACTTTCCATTAATGTTGGCGAAATATTGACAGGTCAGTGGCCACGAATTGTTACCTCATTTTAAGTAAACGATAAAAAAAATTGTATACTTTGAGACGACAAAAACTTTAAAAAAAATGCGTCTCACGAAAATCGAATTGTATTATAGTAGCAATGTACGGCTACTAATCAACGATTCGTTGGTACGATCCCCATCGGGTCCAACATTTCTCTAATCAATTTATATTTTTTCTGAAACATGTTGAACTTCGTCTGGAAGTCTGGATATTAAATTGGTAGTAGGATTATCGAAATTCTGTGGTGTTCACGTTTCATTACCGAATATCTAAAGCCAAAATAGGTCGATAGCGCATTTTGTTTAGATGCTATATGTCGGTGTATTTCATTCACCATGAAGTCCATACTTGACTATCCTGCTCGATCATTAAAAAACGCTAGAAGTACAGAAGTTCAAAGCAGCGACAGGCGAGTGGCTTGATACTGGACTTTACCAGGAATGACAAATAAGACAACAATACGCATTGAAGAATATTCTCTATCAGCGTCGACTGAGTGACGTGAGAAATTTGTATAATAGAATCATTTTTATTTATACTAAATGTTTAAAAATCGAAAATAAATTGAAAAAAAATTCTTGAGTTACCGAGTCCTACTTTCAATTAATTTTCGATTTTTAAATTATATAGTGCCTTCATGTGCAATAACATGTAAAAAATATTAATGTTTTATACTAAATGTATTTAGTCCTATCCGTGTCTAATACCCATCACACGCTAAGTTAAAAATACGTATAGGACCTTATTTTCTCGACGGCGTTTCGACAACTGTCTTGGTAAAGGCAAAAGAAGTATCTGTTCAAAACATAAAGAAAAAAAAATATATTTAAGAAGCTAGCAGCCGACTCGCACTTGGTATGTTTCGGCATTAGCAAAACATCACCAAAAATGACCTCTATTTTGTATACTAAAAAGATAATAATGAGCGAATAAATTCTGTCCTTGCGCGTGATATACATCACTTGTACAAATACAGACTCGAGAATCGATGACATCACTAACTACTGTTTTCTTTGTGGTCACTGTCGTGTGTGGCCTCAGTGTAGGCGACTCAATACGTTGAATAAAATAGGTTGTTTTTTGTCCTAGTTGTTCAATTAGTAATTATTTGAGATGAGGACGTAGAGAAAACGTGTTGTCGCTTATAGTTGTACCCAAAATCATTGTTGGATAAATAATTTTCAAAACTTCGTTGCATATTCTTACTTATTTCTCAAAATAAAACACAAATTTTATTAATTTTATCAGCATCTTCTGTTAAAACATGTAGCTGTTTAAACGTACTCGTATTCATTCCTAATTTATTTTTGTATCCTTTTTATTTTACAATTTCAGTTAACTTTACAATTCACTTTTGTTTATTAAAGCTGTGCGATTTCTTTTGTACAGAATTCACAAAGAAGAATTCAAAGTTAATCCCGAGATGCCACAAAATTTTTATTTTAAATGCAGTATACATATGAAAAAACACCAACAGTGGGCTCAAAGTCTACTGTTTGTGTTTTGTCATTATTTCATAATAATCAAGCATTTTAAATAACAGCAATAAAATTATAAATATTGCACAAATAACGCCTAAATCTAGCTTATCAAAATCGCGATAAGTATAGCCACGCATGCATCTTTCAGATGTACTCACAAAATCTAACAAATCGCTTGTTGTAGGCGCTAATTAGACCTCACAGCTTTGTGGGCAGGGCCTTGACAGCTTCCGTTAACATCTCAACTGACTCACGGATTTAATTAATAAGATACAATGCCTCTATATAACTGATAACTTTATTATACAAATAATATGCTTAAAGTTAAATTTAAAATCTATGTAAAAAAAAATACGACAAATGCTGACTTCCACCGCTTTCCTCTGCTTTAACCAATTGAGTTACCGTGTCCTAAATCCGTTAGAGCAACAGTGTAGAAAATGTATTTCAATATAAATAGATTTTTATTTATATGATGCTATCATTACATGTAAAAAAATATGGAAGATTTAAGCTTTATGTTTATGTAACAAAAAGTAGGTATTCATATAAACACAAATCAAGGAGTTATTTGTCTGTATTAAGCGAAACTGATTAAAACGTATACCACGTTCCTTTTAAACACCGCACTTTGTAGACTAAGATACGACTGTAATATTTACATTCATAAATATATTATTGTTATTTATCACTTTTAATTAAGAAAACAAATTTGTATGGCAAATATAAATACATAGTTATATATACTTAGCTATTTTTCAGTTTGCTGTTTGTTTTTCTAATATATACTGATATTATAAAGCTGAAGAGTTCGTTTGGTAGTTTGCTTGTTTGAACGCGCAAATATCAGCGCCGACTGGTTTAAATTAAAATACTTCTTGTCAATTTTGTTTTGCTTAGAACATTTATCGAGAAAGGCTTTAGGCTATCTAGGCAATAGCAGCCGATAGCAGAAACTATGGGAAACGTGGAAAAAAAATCATTATTCTAAGTTTTTGTTGCGTGCGCTGCAAAACTGGTTCGAGATATTAAAAAAATATGTATGAAAGAATTACATACTACAGTATAGGCCTATTTTGCAAGAAAGACGGGACGCGGACGTTGTCGTGGTAACAGCTAAAACTTATAAATATATTAGGAGGTTTGCAAAAACCAAATTTTATATAAAAATAACCATTCTACGCGGACAAAGTCTCTTTGCTATTTGTTTACCCACGACACATAAAATACACAAATTGTTAATTATTTAATCATACTTTAGTCAATGTGCTTAAAAGTGACGCAGAATTATATTAAACACATCAACTCGTGGTCTACAACATCTAGTCTTTTCTACGCCTACGCGATTTTTTGTTCATCCTTTTAAATTGATCTTTTGATCAAAACTATACAACCTTCAAATTCAATGAATTGTAGTTAGCATTGGCGCCGATATATTGTGCGATTAGCAAATTAATGTAATCGCTATTACCAAATATGGTAACAACTGTTACTTAACATATGCCGTTAGTGTTTTGTTTTATTGTTTTTCTTTCTTTATATAAGAAGCTATAATTTTCGAAACTGTTTTCCAATACCGACCTCAAGAGCTCACTTGAGTCACAATATTTTCCCGAAGTTATGTACGTGGGCATAACATTATCCACCAACACTGAAGCAAGGTTAAGTATGTAATGGAGAGATAAAAAAATAAAATTCAAGTATGAAAATATGGTGCGCTTTAGAATAACTAAGTTTTTATTAAATTTAAACGTAAACGTACATAAAACAGTATACATACTTTGAAGCAGTGCTTAGTATAATAATTTAAAGAATGCTAGTTTTTACAAGGCCCCATCACAGATTGAAAAACTAAAAATTAAATCTACACTATTCTATTATATTATAAAACACTTAAACGGTATAAAACGCGAAGCATATTATTTAACTTATTTACAAATTATTTTAACTACGGCCCGACGTTTCGGATGCTTTTATTAAAAATTAGGTTATCATATTCTGTAGAAAAACATTAAACGTACATATTTGAAAGCAGCTTTCTAATTGTTTTAAATCTCAAAATATTGGCTCAAAGACATTACATGCTAAATGTTGATCTTATGTCACCAATAGCTAAGACATCTCCAGCACACAAATGTGAAATTAATGGTAAATAGATTTGAGTCGAACCAGAAAAAATATTTATGTAACGGAGATCTGATCAAATTTGGTTATTTGAACGCTCTATTGATTTTAATATTATTGATTACACACGTTTCGTAAGGATTTATATTCGGTCTAACCGTTAATTTGACTAATAAAGACATTTGTTTGTGTATCTCAACAAAAAATATATTTCTAATGTACAGCTAGATATTTATACTGAAAAGAGAATAAGCTTCACGGCTTTTTTATTTGTGATCGGTGGTTCCCGACCCGGACAGAATTTCGATATTGTCATTTTATATCCAGATTTCCAGACTAAGTTCAACATGTTTAAAAATTATAAACTGATTGAAGAACCCACGACTCCTTAATT